TAAGGGGGGATGATCGTTTGGATGGAAGCGGGGTTGTTGTGTGCATTTACTGTTGAGATATATTGAGTGATTTAAGTCGGACTTGATTTAGTTTAATCGACGAGTCTCTTAGTTTCTGGAACTACTTACAATTAAGTACTCTCATGATTAACGCAATAAGCAGACGGATATTATCGTAGAACACCTCATTTACTGTATATTAGTACCACTAAGCACTTGCAGTCTGTGCTGATAGTATTACCCTCATCTGACATGCATTAGCAACTCGAGCAGAAATTACTGGCACCACCACCTTTCATACCTAGTACTAGTAAGTGATTGTAATGTAATAGAGTACAAGTAGTATTAATGTCTAATTCCTTCCTAACAGGACCAGAAGAAATCACTAGAAGATAGATAAATAGCAAGCTAGCTGAAAAAACCGCATCAACAAAGTACCACACCAGGCAGACAGAGATAAGAAAAAAGAACATCTCTCTCATCCGGGCCTAAGCGCCTCATCATCCCCGTACATATCCACATCATCAAAGAAAACCGCCGACTGCCGTCTCATCTCCTCAAAGATACTACTCCCCGTACTACCCCGACGGTGTTCCGGGACCCGCAGCAGCCGGGAAGACGAAGCCGAAGAAGTCGGTCGCCCAGCAGATTCGTTCGATGAATTCTCCGACAGCGATCCGTCCAGTAGATGCGCGTCTTCTCCGCTGCCGCCGCCTTCGCCGAATGTGATGTTAACGTTGTCCCCGCGTCGTCCGGGAAGATTGTGGTCCAGGCGTTCATTCAGGGGATCGGTGGCAGTGCGGGGGCTGGGATTGTAGTGGTTATCTGGGTCGTTATTTTGGCGCCAGCGAGATGGCGCCGGAGAGATCGGTCTGCCGCCGGCATGCGCGAATTTCTGTAGGCTTTTGACGACGGCAATTTCGATCTTTAGTCTGTTTTTGATAAATTGGAGCTTGGGGAATGCGCTTTGCTGACCCACGCGGAGCATGCGGGCGAGGCGCTCCGGGTTGGGGTCCGAGAGGATGTGAAAGAAGTCCGAGGGGACGGTCTTGGGCCAGATGGTCACTGTGCCGCTGAATTTTTGCAGCCAGATCTCGCTCCAGTCTTGGCCCATGGGCCGGGGGAGGAGTTCGAGGTGCCGCAGGACTCGGAGCCATTTGTTCATGTCTAGTTTGATGTATTGTTCTATCGCGGAGCCCAGGAAGCCTCCGCGCCAGCCGCGACCTTTGCGGTGCGTGACTGGTCGGCCTACGGTGCCTCGAGAGCTGAAGAAGAAGAGGTTGATGTGTGGGTTTACCTAGTAGGGAGGGGGTGGTGTTAGTTCGGCATTTTTCAATGTTGGGTAAAATGAGAGGAAGGTTCTACCTGTGAAACGATGGTAAAGTTGACGTTGAAGTGAAGATTCAATGCTTTGATGGGAATATCGGTGCGTAAGCTGCCATCCTTCCACTTGTGTCCGAACGAGTACGGCGCCAGGGTGCCGTCGCGTTTCTTCGTCATCAAGACGACTGGGTTCAGGATGCCAGGGACTGCTGCGGACGCGAGCACTGCGCTCCAGATTACGCAATTAGGTGAAGTTAGGTAGTTGGCCAAAATGGTAGGCGAATGAGGGTCAGATGGCACACAAGATACATTCAAGATGCGCCCTGTTCGTTCGTATGCCTCCCGAAACGTAGTTGAGCCCCTGCAGAACCAGCTACATTGTCGGGCCCAGTCAAGAGTATCGAATCGCGCTCCTGTCCGCCACCACCGCCATACCCAAGTCGGGAAGCTCTCCTGACATGCTCTGATGCGGTGCGCTAGAGCAGGCACCAGCAGCTGCTTCAACTCCTCGTCGGTCCTCGTAGCAACCAACGCAGCGACCAGCGCTCCTCCTGACGTGCCCGTAATTATTTCCGGCAGAACCCCATTATCCAGTAGCGCTCGCACTACTCCAAAGTGGTAATAAGCGAATGTAGCGCCTCCAGACAGGCAGAGGGCGGTTCGTCCGAAATTGGTGTCCAAATGCTTGAAATGCTGTAATTTCTCCTCGCTACTGATCCCCTTCGAGTCTGCGACCAATTGTATGCACGCATGCAGCTCGTCAATGTATTCCTGGACCAAGTTTTTGGTACCAGAGTAAGCCTCACTGTAAAGTCGGGGATTCTCCACCCCGGCGAAGTTGTTCTTGACACACGCTTCCAGTAGTGTGCATAATTCTTCAGCTGCAGGTGACTGGCCTGAGCCCCGACGTTTCTCACGTCTTTCACGCTCCACCTCCCGTCTCACCTTCTTCAGCTGTTTCACTAGGTTGCTAATCGTAAGATGATCGTAGTAGGCGTATTCGTCGATCTCCTTCCATCTCTGATTCCCCAGATGATCGTCGAGCGCTCGGGCGGCTTTTTGCCAGTCGGGGTAATTCGTTTGCGCGCGTAACTGTCTTCTGAGGCTTTGCCTTCTGCCCCGCCATGTTACCCACTGCTCGTACAGGAAGATGTAGACACGGGTGAGTGTGTAGGCAAAGGCGAGGGCCGTGATCCAACCAAAGACGGTGAACAAAAAGGGCCACTTCAAAACTGTGTATAGCACACCTTCTCTGGTCTCATCCTTGGTCCGCCTAGGCTCTTTGCGGCGCCCACGTTCGCGCCTGACCCGTTGGTAGATGGGGCGCCAGTCGTTGAGGGCAACCAGCGGTGACGCGCCCTGGTCCGTCAAGGCAAGCTCGAATTGGCGCAAGTCATCGGGATCGATGAATTCTCGGTCGTAATCCGGTATCGTACTGGGATCGTAGGTGTCACCAGCTGCAGACTTCTCCGCCCCGTTCATGATTGATGATAATAATGCATGTTGGGTTAGAGATTGGGGATATGTGTGGTGGGGGGGAGTAAAGATAATTCTTGTAACAAGAATCAGTGACGCGCACTGGACAAGACATCGACGTCAGAGAGTTGAGTTGACACCGCCTCAAGTCTCCGGCGCCACTAATTACTTTGTTGGGCCCCGTGACGTCGAGTGGATGTGGCTGGGGCTGTGGGGCTGGGCACTTTGACCAGTCTTCCCAATGGGGACTAGCCTCAGGAATCAAGGATGAGTGATACCACTAGTCCTATCAGGGGAATAGTCATGGCGGAGAGTTCCCGACGGCATTCTCTCTGAGCAACCTCGTGGTGCTTGCTTGCTTGTTTGCTTGCTTGCTTGCTTGCTTCCAGCCTCACCGGTGGTTCAAATGACAAGCCTGCATACTTTATTGGCGGCATACTATTGCCAGGGATGTAGGGCTCAAGCACTACCATATTGCTTATGGCAGTCACGAATATAGCGCAAAGAAGCTGACTCGGTGAGGCCTAGAATCCGGCTGAAGCTGAACTATACTGCGTGAGAAGCAATATCTGCTCCGTCATATTGTTATGTCAGAAAGCATTAGCTTAATTAGCTATACGTTCACTGTGTATCCTGTGCTACGTACTCACACATGCACTTGGGACACGCAATCACCAAAGTGCCAGCAACGCCCTCTTTGCAGCAAGCGTTTGTTGAAGTCTATCTATCTGTCTTCTTCGTCCGGGTGGCCCGTGTAGTGTTGATAGATCGACGTTGCAGACGAAGAAGCCTGCAAATCACTTCCCAAGTGACTATGATCATCGGATAGGATAAACACCGGATTACGTGATAAGATGGCTGCCATGAGCCATACCCTGCCGCTTAAATCTGGGGAGCATTGGAATGTGTATCGCGCACGCACGAGCTGGAAGAACACGCGGGATCGGCAAGCAAAAACAGACTGTCGGCATGACTTGGAGGGAGGGAAGGGCAAAGGTAATTGCTCCTCATAGCCTATCGCAGGACTTTGATATAAACAGGTCACCGATACGTGTGGCATAGGTGGTCAGTAGTGTTGCGAAGCTGAGTCGCTCAGCTGCGCGCCCGTAGCTCCATGATAGGTTTCTGCCTGTCCACCAGCCGGAGAGTGTACCGTCGCCCCTCCCCTCCACGAGCACAGTCCTACCTACATTAGCCGCCTGAATCTCAATGTTGCCGCCCGTCTGGATGTGAATTATCGGTGTGACAAGGAGCACGAGGCATGGCTCTAAGCATGGGTTTGATTGGAGTGCTATTCGCAGAACAACCCTGGCCGGCATTCCTGATGTGATGGCGTTCGCAACTCGACATTGCGGGGTAAATTTACCGACTCTCCAAGTGTTCAACAACAATCGGAGACTTCTACCGGGTGGTCTGTGAGAATGCTGGGGTTGGTCAAAGGGGGCGGCGGCATCGTGGTAGATAATTGGTTATCACCACCAACCACGGCTGATACGGAGGTTGGAGGAATCCAGTAGAACGAATGATTTGCAGATACTGCGGATTATACTGGTTGCCGCTATGGACTAAACCTTCCTAGTCGTAAAGAGTACCCCGCCAATGTTGTAGGAAACTCGTAGGGTTTAGCCAGCACTTGGAAGGTTCTTCTTGCATGTTGCTGATCTGGTGTCGTACTAGTGGTGGGTTTGGTCGCTGAATTTAGCCAACTCGCTTTAGAGTATCACATTCATGCCCTCACATCCTCCGATCGCATCATGCCATGAGGACTAAACCCACCCACCTACATACGTAACTTGCTTTTTCCTTTCGATTGTTCTTGTTCGTTCCTCTCTGTCCAGCAGACAGCATCAGGTTTGCTTCCACACCTTTTAAACATCATGCATCTTGTTCACCACGAAACCGGAACTCTTCAGCTCAACAAGGCAACACAACAGCGATAGATAGATAGATAGACAACTAGTAGCTGGTGTTTTCATTGCTATTTATTTTTCTCCCGTTGCGCGGTAGCCGCTTTTCCGCCCTTGGGGGACTGGGATCCGGTTAACGTTGAACCTTAGCCACAACAAACTATACCTCTAGCGAGTATCGTCCACGGTTCATGAACTAAGCCTCTGCCGTTTGTTCTTCTATCTATCATTAACCCAGTTGGTGCTTAGGTTTCCCGAAATGGTGGGATGCATCAGGGTCAATCCTAAAATTTCCACCATCATTCCATAACTGAACTGAACCACCCAGTTGCGCCCGTGTTTCTTCTTCCCACCTTCTTTTCAACTAATGCATGAAGATCGCGCCTCGGTGGTTTTTGACTTCCTTGGTCCTGTATGCACCATACATACAGGATGTAGTGCGGTACGTAAGTACTTACGGAGAGCCCGCAGAGACGGGATAGACAGACAGACAGACAGACAGACAAGACAGCCTGGTTTTCATCTCTCTTCCACATCCTTGGCGTTCCTCTCCCTGCAGTTGGTTAGTCACTAGTATACAAAGTTACCGGGGAAGGCAAAATTTGCCAAAATGGAACAGCGATGTCGGCTTTGATTGGCGACGACAATCGCGAACGACTGCTGATCATTCGAGCGGTTGACTGCAGTGGAGACCCGCCTTTCGAGTCGTCAGATCCCACTGGAGTTGTCTGTCCCCCCCCCGTATCCACACTCGGTTTTCCACTCCCGGCCCGGGCTTTTGTTTCTCGTTGCTAGACTACAGTACTATCAATCATTCAATGGATTGAAAGGAACGGCCTCCATAATTCAGACTAAACAATGACTCCATTCCTCCACCAGCAAGCGGGCAGATCAGATGTCATAAAGGTCATGTGCACTCCCCCAGCGTTGAATTTCATTGGAGGTCCGCAATAAACACCAAACCCGGGTCTCCATTCCAACCATCTACAGCACCCAGTACACAGTATTTGCCTCCCGAAGAAAACAGAAAAACACTCCAGCCTAGCATTCTTACATCGGAGCCTGCTCGGATGTTTTGCCCTGTAAGTAACGTTGTCGCCGAGAGGGTTCTACCCCAGTATGTGAGACACCATTCAAGCAGGGATACGGGTAAACAAGGATGAGCCACTTCCACTACTCCTCGCATGATAATCGATCAGAAAAAGAAAAACAAAAACAAAAAAAAAAAAAAAAAAAAAAAAAAAAAACAGAATGTGAACAAGACCTGGAACACTACTCCTAGCATGCGTTTTCCAAGCGCATGGCAAATTGAAGAAGCATGCGGCCTTCGCCCACAACGCCGAGGATAGAAAGTTTCTGATTGGCAATACCGCTCCTTTCATCTATAGGCGGCAGAATAAACAACGTCCGATCTAGGACGCACCTGGAGATTTCTTTCCATGTAGGAATATGCGTGTAATCCTGCTACTGCAATGACGGTGCCTTGTCATCTAAATCGATCGGGGGGCGAGACACTAGAAGCCAAGAAGAGAGAGAGAAAAAGAGAGGTCCCGACCCTCAACAGTAATTTGCGACGAAAGTAAGGAACGGAGGCGTCGCGAATGTATTATCATGAAACAGGGACTCGCTACCGAAGATTCTCACTCTTTTCCCGCTATCCCCCGCTGTCATGGAGATACGTACCAGGTGGTGTCATTGTGTACTGGAAGGAATTGGGAGAAATTTCTACCACGGCACGGCAAACCGTCTGCCATAATTTTATGGCTATCAGTTTTAACTCAGGCAACGATCACAGACCATCTGGTCCACTACCATGGACGTCATCGAACAGAGTTCAAAGACTTTTTTACCCCTCGTCGCGATCGATATTGGTCGGAGATCACAGGAACGTGGGCATTCTGTATGGATGCATAGACGAGGCCGGCAAATGATGAAACCCGCCTAGATAGCCAGAGGGGCAGGGTAACCATGGATCGAATGATGTTATTGCAAAGGAGGGTTGGGGAGTGGGCACCGGGAGAAAGAATGTGGTGTGATGATGGACCATGGTCGGTAAGCGGTGTGACTGACAGCGGGAAGGGAGGAGGGTAGTAGGGATGCAGTGAAATGGGAACTTGAACTGGAACTGGAACTCTGTAGGCGACACAACGGAGGTTTAGGTTTCGCAATCGAGATAACCACACAGTACATCATCGCCCCAGCAGCTTTATGTACGCGTAGTGTTTCCCGAAGCTCAGGAATGTGGGAGCATGATTCGCTTGGGGGAGGGCAAGTTGGACTACGAACAAGCAAGTCGAGCGATCACTTCGCCATGGCCGATGACCGATGACCCGATCATCTAGTAGACGGTATGGAGTAATGGGTGGTGGTCAGTTGATCATAAAGATGAGACTGAGACCTCCACTTGAGCCTCTCAAGAATGTTAACGGTCAGTGCGAGATAAACCAGGTACGTAGGTTGATGAATACCAGACTAAAAGCTAAGCACAAAGTATCTACTTAGTACCAATCGTCATAGTTGCTAGACTTACTGAAGGGAGTAACTATTCATGTAGATAGATAGAGTATTCTTTTAAGATACAATAATTCTGTCTGCCTCGGAACGAGGGGAGATGTCTTCCCGAGTTTCAGGCAATGACCGAAAGGATGGATGGATGGGATGAATGGATGGATGCAGGGCGAGTCCCCATCCGGACAAGGCGAGAAGTTTCCAAAACTTGCGATGTGTCCGATTCCTCTTTTTAATTATCTCGAAGCCGCTACTGTACGGTCATTTCTGGTATATACGTATAGTTCCAGGTACGAAGTTTTAGTAAGTATCTAGTAGGTATCTAAAGCTGCCTCATCCCGGTCGGAATACTTTTAGTAACATACTAGAAAGTAGAGAGCCCCCTAAAAATGTCCGTGATGTTATTTTGGCTCTCGCCGGTGTCCTTTTGCTTCCCTTTTGGCCCTCGAGGATGTCGCTAAAAATCCATCCTCTAGAGCTTCTCGAGTAAAGCGTCATGCAGGTGTTGGAGAAACGCCTGTGATTCGTTGAAAAGGCAAGTACATGAATGTCCGCCATGCCGCTATCAGCTGCACGTTTGGGGACCCACCGCCAATCACGGGGCGACTTGACATCGTCCGTCCAGTTACCGCCGGCACAGTTGCATCCGCCCAAGAGGCGGGTCTCCCTCTAAGCACCGCCCGGTTCAACCAAACACTGCGCTTCATTCCGTTTCTTACCCCCCTCCTTCCTCCATCCAACATACACAACAGAAAAAAAAAACTTTTCACCCGACCTGCAGCATACTGGAGCCGGGCTTGCAGTGGCTTCGAATTGGTCAAGGAAAATAAGAAAAGGAAAGAAAAGAAATAAAAAATAGTATGGCCTACTTACGTTTCCTAGTTACTTGGCAAATTTGATCAACATGGTGTGTGCGTTCTACACCCTCCAGATTGGTCCAGAAATCCTTCCGCCCTTCAAATAAAAAGTATGTGCGTACGGAGTTTTCCTTTCCTACTTAAACATTATTATTACTATTATTGTTGTAGTTGCATACTACTAGTCCTCCGTTACTGCATCAGCCAAGTCCAAGGGTCGGCGATCGGGATACCCGCTTCGAGGGATTCGGAAAGATTGCTCCACTCTTCGCCAGAGCCGAAGAATGGCACTCCTTCGTTTGACCGTTGTAGTGATACTGTATTGTGTGTATGCTTCCATCCTGAAACCGATCTTAATTGATATCAATGAAGTAACTTTGGGATATCCATTGGTACCGAGAGGGGAAACGCGATAACAACTATCTACTCCTACTCTGAGGAATGCCAAAATTTTGAGAGATCGCTTATCAATTCATCATGGTCTTGTCCAACTGAGTAATCCAGAGTACCCCGCTAGATAGAGTTTCCGGAGAAGGCTAACCAGTCATTTGAGGTATGGGTCCGTATTTATCAATTGTATCTGGGCGCTTTCAGTTCTTTCTTGATAGGATCCGGTAGACAAGGGAACGAAGCTGAGTTGACGAACAACTGGATTTAACAACGGACCTTTCCCGACGGTCGCCACCGACTGGTTTATGGATACAACGATGATTTGATGGATGTAAAAAGGGCCAAAACAATAATGAGGATAAAATTAAGGCGAATCGAAAGTCAAAAAAGACACAGAAGTCTAGTATTACTTACTACTTTTTTTTACCTGAGTCTGACTATGGGGTGGTATTCCCGTACCCGCCGTGGTCTTAGCGTACCGTACGATACGTATGCAAGTACGCATGTACCTCTGGACGACGCCCGGTGCAGCGGCTCCCTGACCAAAGGGAGAGCAGGACAAGATAACAGGCAAAGATTTCTATATGATAATAAATTATATTAGTCCCAGTATCGCCAGCCCGTCCTTTTTTTTGCCTCTTCCCTCCTTTCCCTCCGTCTCTCCCAGAAGTGACATATTTTTGCTCAACCCAGCAACAAAACACCTGCACTTATCTCGAGACTGCGTCGCATTTCTCTTCTGACCGCGCTTTCCCACCCCCCTCCCTCTTCATCCCGACAGTAGTTAATTTGAAGGCATACCTTGTCAGCCAACAATAATTCACTACTTGAACCCGGGCTTACCACACTTACTACCACCCACCACCCCCTACGCCCCTCCCCCCCTCAGCTGATTGCTCCGGTGCTCATCCATACCCACTCCTCCCTCCCTCTCCCAATCCTCCACTACAAACCCCCCGTCACGTATCGTCCACTAGTCGAAGGTCCGTGGTGCTTTGCATATTAGCTCCCCCCGGTCCTTTTCTTTTTCTATCCAGCCCATCCATCTTCTCCTTTTTCGGTGATCACTCCTGCTTCAGCTCGCCTCTTCCTCCTCCTCAGCTTCGTCCCGGTGACAGGCTTCTCTTCTCAACTGACATTGGAGACCTTCCCTTTCGTCTCCAACCACTCCATCGCCTCCTCTTCCCTCGTGTCTAGCATAGTTGTGGTGGGCGGCTTCGTGATTCTGTTCGACGATTAGTTTATCGTTATTGTGCAACGCCCCTATATCTTCGAGGTACATCCCAGCCTTGTCTCCTTCCTTTCGACAATAGTTACGAGGCATAGCGCCTTGGGCTTGGCTATCTATCTTGAGTCGTTTTTTGTTGTGAGTCACGGCTAACTCTCACCCGTTCTACTGTCCTGCAGGTCCTCTTCTTCTTTCGCTTTTTGTCTGGCCAGCAAGATGTCGACTCTCGCCGTCCCTACTGCGAGTACTTGAGCGTTCCTCTTCAGAGTCCGCCTAACCAGATAGACTTTTTGTCTCGTTGGGCGAAGCAATTTCCGTAATGGAGAAGCTGAACACTGAAGATGGACAGCTCTTCATAAAAGTTCGTGCGCCCCCTTATACATTTACATTGATTCACCTTGATCTTTCTCTCTCCTCCCTAGTCGACTTCGCTTGCTTGCTAACTCTAACCTCTTCGTCTAGAATCTCGCTAGTTTTGTTCGTACACACGAAAAGGCCCTTGCAAACGCGCTGCAATTAAAGCGCCAACCTACCAAAAATGCGCAATCCTCCCATACCCAGTCGGGCTCGTCGAGCTCGGCTTCCTCCACTCTTGCAGCGGCCCTGTCCTTCGGGGCACTGAAATTCACTTCGCAGAATGTTAAACCTGCCAAACTCACCCTCACTCCCCATCACCTGTTTTACCTCTTGTCCCGTTTTGAAGAACTTTCTATTGCCGTCGGTCCCCTGAATGTTAGGCTGGAGAATATTCACACGGATGGATCGCAGTCCTATGTGTCATTCCTGAATAAGCCTCAGCGATCCAGGGGTGACCGGGACTCTATCCACTCCGTGTCCAGTGTCCGTAGCGTCATGTCTGGTATGAGTTCACTTTGGTCTTCATTTGGTTTGGTTTCCAAAGACTCGGCTTCCAAATCCGAGAAGGCCAAAGCAGCTCTAGAAGCGGATACCAAATACCTATACTCTGCCTTTACCAAGATCCCCTGCCTGCGTTTAGCCCCTGACCGCCGTGCCCGGTTGATCCGTGGTTACGAAGAATTTCCTTTTGACACTGCCGTTCCATTGCATTCCTTTAAGAATTTGAGCGCGTTAGAGATTATTGATATAGACTATCGCTCGTTCTTCGGCTGGGATAGGCTGTCCGAGCAGTTGCGGACGCTGACAGTCAAGAGGGCTAATATCGAGGACCCAGCAGAATTGCTCACGGGCATTGTGCTGGATGACATTGACAAACGTCGGCGGCGTTCGTCAAAACATCACCACTCACCCATGATGGGGTGGAGTGGGAATGCAAACCCCCAGCCAGTCAACAAGTCCGAACTGTCTGGGTCGCTCTCTGCTCCCGGGTCGCCGGTTGCTGATGCCCCCTTTGGATCCAGCGCTAGCCCCCAAGCAGCTTCGATGATCAGAATGGCATCGGAGGGTTCCAAAGCTCGACCACGCACCGGAAGCATTTCTCCCACACGTCCCACCAGCTCGAAACACTCGACTTACCGTCATGGCCGTGGTACCGCCTCCCGGATAAGACGCACTGGCTCAGGTAGTTCCAACTCCAGCGAAACCTCGGGTCACCGCAGCGCGAGCTCTTCCAATCTACTCTCCGGTGTCTTGCCAGCACACAAGTGGCGGTTCTTGCGACACCTTGGCCTCCCTGACAACTCCTTGACCTCCATCACTGCCGCCGGTCTTGCTCCAGTGGCCAATACTCTGCAATCGCTCGATCTATCGTCGAATCTTTTCACCGAAGTACCCGACAGTCTCGCATCCCTGGTTGCCTTGAGAGCTCTGAACCTATCTCATTGCATGATCGAATCTCTCCACTCCTTGTCACGCAATCCTCTTCCCGCCATAACCGCACTCAACCTCCGCGGGAACCGTCTCCGTTCTCTCGCGGGAATTGAGAGGCTGCTTTCGTTGGAACGGCTGGACCTCCGAGACAACAACCTTACGGATCCTACTGAGATTGCTAGGCTCACCAATCTCCCTGAGATACGGGAGATCTGGGTTTCTGGCAACCCCTTTGTGAAAACACATCCAAACTATCGTGTTGTGATTTTCAACTTGTTCCGACGCACCCCAGGTTACTCAGAGGACATCATCATCGATGGGTCGGGACCAGGATACACCGAGCGGAAGCAACTGGTGGAGCGAGCTGCGGAACCCGAGGCTGCACCTGTCATACGATCCGCTGCGGCAGATCTTTCTACCGTTGTCAGCAAGCCCCTGCACACAGTTCCTCAGGAGCCTTCGCTGCCTTACGAGCAAATTGGACCAGTCGGACGAGTGGGCCAGAATGGAATCGATGTTGGGTCTACTCGTCGAAAGAAGGGTACACGGCGGAAGATTGCCGATCGCCCAAAAGATAAGCCTTCCGCTGATGTTAATCGTGAATCAGGTGCGGTGGTGCCTTCTATTCCTTCTGTTCAGCCTGTGCAATTACCTGTTGATCCGTTTGTCACGGCAACCCCCGACCGTCAATGGAAATCTGATGGTGGACCTCAGGCCAGACCCGCAAGTTCCAAAATCCCGGAAAGGACTGAGATCAAACGCGATTCATCCGCTCTTCAGACCCAAGACCAACTTGGCCTCCAGCGTGCACTCCAGGGTAAAGACTGGAATGTAGACGGAGATTTCTACAAACGGCAACTAGAGGCTCTTAGGCAAGAACTTGGGAATAGCTGGCTCAGGACGCTCGAGGAACACAGGTGGAAGGATGTGCAGACGGACATCAATGTGTCTTGCACTGCAGCTGATTATACTGATCCGACGAGGATCCCAGTGGACCCCTTGACCAGGGTGAATCCCCAGGTCATCCTAAGCGGTGGCCATGCCCTGAGTTGACTGCGTGGAAAGACTACAGTCGACAAGGGCAAATGAAGAAAAAAAATCAAATGGAAAAAAAAGTTGAAAAAACAACGAAGAGAAAAATAGGAAAGAAAAACAAGAGGACAAGGAGAGAGATTGAAGGAACAAGGGAGCAAAGAACATCTTGACCTCATCCATGGTCGTTCCTAAGTCTGGAATTTCGGTTTATACCTTTCACACCCCCAGAGAAAAGTTCGGTTTGGCTTCGAAAAACGCAGTTCTTCCACGATACCTTCCGGTTTTTGACTATACTCAACCTTATACACGCAAACCTTTAACGACATGCTTACGGCAGCTGGTTGTCGAACTGCATCATTCACGGCGTTAGGTGATCTTTCAGAGCTTACGGCCCGGATGCGTGGAACACATGAATGATTCTTCATTCCTCCTTCGTCTTTCTCCTCCCTCTCCCACTCCTCTCTTGCTTCACCGCAGTTATACACCACCTACGGCCCGCATCCGACCGTTCCCGGCTGGTCCATCTGATAGGATTACTTTTTTGTTATTATTTGTTCTAGACGGCTTGTATTGTATTTTGGGGCAGGAGTGCTGGTGTCCAGGAGTTCAACTGGTGTCTTGATTTATATACGACGTGATGTCTCGCTTTTTCGGTACTGCTCGTTGTGTCTTGAGTGTTTCCCGTTTCTACTGCTTGCACATGACGTTCCGCGCATGCGATGATCCTTCAGGATGTATACTGAGTTGCTTCTCTTCTTCTCGTTTCTCTTTTCTTCTATTTCTTTTTGGCGTGCTGCCGTTTTCTACGGATTATTTTCTGGGACCGCCATGGCCCATGATGAGATTCGGACCTAATGCATGAGACACGAAGATGTTGTGACGAGTCAGATCAGATGTTCTCTCTTCCCCGCGGTAGCGCCAATAGTTGAAATGCAATGCGCCATGGGCGCCTTTCGGATCAGGTGCGTCACACGTAGAGTTGAAAAGGGTGGTGGGGGATAACAGAAGGAACATCCCCACTGGAGTAGAATCCGAGGTAGATATGCCGTAGATAGATGCTTGTCAGATACCTCCCCGGGGATTTTCCAATAGAATGAAGGAGCCAAGGGACATTGAGGCGTTAAAGCAAAGCATGCAAGCGCTCGTGCGACCATAAGGAGGGGGGAGGTCATGGGCATACGTAAGTAGGTCCGAGGTATGGATGTACATGATGTATATGTACATCAGGTAGGTAGATCACCGGCAGGCATGTCGAGAGTCCACACACGGTTTCAGCACCGTGGGGTCTTTGTTTGAGGGGGTAGAAGAAGCTGGATTGCTAGAAAGAGGGGGAACTGCGGCATCGATTGGCGGTGCTCCCTTGCAGCAGGGGGTAGTGCCGCAGAGTGAGGGTCGAGGTTGGGGAAGAGATGATCTGGGGTTGAAGGCCAGTAATTAGTTAGTAAGTCTGTAGAGTTTTTGACAAAAGTACGGAGGAGGATGAAGCGGAAATGCAGTCCCCTGAAGAAGGAGGGGTATGGGTAAAGAGAGTTGAGAGAAGAGAGTCGAGACGTTGACAGACCGTTGGAGGGAGAGAGTTTAGTATCAACAGTGAGGAATAGTATTACTAGTAGAAGACACCCCCATGAAGCGCTTTACTGTTTAATGAATGGCGCGCCGCCCGCCGCCCGGGCGATGAACCAATCAGAAGGAATAAACACGAGGCCGGGGCCCTTTCCGTTTTGCCATCCGGGAGTCTCAGGCAGGCAGGCAGTCAATCAAGAGTTCCTCCTCCCTTTGCTTTGCTTTGCTTTGCTTGACGCTGCGTTGCGTTACTTTGGCTTTGCTTTGCTTTGATCTCTCTCTTCTTCCCTCTCTCTCTCACTCTCTCACTCACTCTCTCACTCTCTCGCCCAGTCCAGGTTCTCTGCTGCTCCTCTCGCGCGCGTCTCAAGTGGTGAGCTTGTCCTCCTTCGTTACTGCCATCCTCTCTGCCCCTTCCCACCTCTTTCCCACCCCCCCCCAGAATCTTGCTATCATCTATCTATCTATCTTGCTTCTTCGCATTCTGTTTCGCTCGTGCTTCTCCTGTTTCTCGTGGAATTTGGCAAACCCCTTTCAGCCTCGAACGGTTTTTTCAGAGAGCCTTGCAAAAGAAGAAAGAAGTGATCGATCGATCCCTTGATTGCCGGCAACCAAACACAATCAATCCCAACTGCTTGCGCGCGCCCTTTCTCTCTCTCTTGTCACTGACACCCTCACTCACCCTCTTACAAACCTCTCTCTCTCCCTCCCTCCCTCCCTCTTTCTTCTTCTCATCTTCCCCCCTTCTACGTGACTTTCTTGATCGGTCTTTTTACACACCCCTCACGCCACACACCAGGTACAGAAGGAGAAAGAAGAAGGACTCTTCCTCCCACCCCATCTTCGAACAAGAGCTCGCCTCCAATCTCGGCTTCGCTTGCTGGCCCTTGTTTTTCTCCCCAACCCACCCCCGTTTCTCTCCCGCCGCCGGCTGCTATTTTTTGCAACCGCCCCGTCCAGAAGCAGTCTTTCGCCCAGCGATATCTTCTTACGCTCAAAACCTTGCTAGCCGCATCTCGCCGTTATCAACGCGCTTCGCCTTCATCCTCCCTCCCGTGTGAAAAAATTTACCAAGGCCGCTTGCTTCTTTTCTCCATCAATATCTGGCATCGCTGTCGAATCTTCTCAGTGTCCCCAAGGCCATTTGGCCTGTTGCCGCTTTTAACTTCCCTTGTCTCTTTTAGATTCTGTTTGGTAAGCCGACTTCTTACTACTTTTGACAACTTCTCACCCCTCCTCTCCCCGTCGCTCCGTTTCACCCGCCATCCAAGTTCAACCCAGCTTGAAGGGAAAAAAAAAATTTCCCGGGCGCATTGATCACGCGTTTTTTTCCTCGCCTCCTGCTGCACCTCATTCCATAGTCTGCCCTGCTCTCTCTGGACTATCACTAATTTTCATATATTCGCTGCAACAGCCTATAGACGCCGCGTCATCAATCGTATCGCCTACCGAGCCCTCCGCAGAGCTACCCTTTTCGCGCCCTTCTCTTCTTCCGTTGTCCAACACTTGTGTTAATTGATCCTTTTTTTCTCTTTCTCTTTCTCTTTCTTTTCTTTCCTTTCGTTCTTTTTTCGGTTCGCACTTTTTTTTCGTTTTCTTTTGCGTCGTCTCTCGTTGGAGTCGCTCAAACATGGCCGATCAAGACGTGGATTTGGACTCGATCATTGATAGATTGTTGGAGGTGAGGGGCAGCCGGCCTGGCAAGCAGGTTCAGCTTCTGGAGTCGGAGATCCGTTATCTTTGCACCAAGGCTCGGGAAATCTTCATCTCCCAGCCCATACTGCTGGAATTGGAGGCACCCATCAAGGTAAAAACGCCATCCCTCATTCGTCCCGGTCGAGATCGGGTCATCGCGTCTATCTTTCGCGGAAACTAACCCGGTGGCGCTTATTATCAGATCTGCGGTGATATCCACGGCCAGTACTACGATCTTCTGCGTCTTTTCGAATACGGTGGCTTCCCGCCCGAGGCCAACTACCTGTTCCTGGGTGACTATGTTGACCGTGGAAAGCAGTCGCTTGAGACCATCTGCCTCCTTTTGGCTTACAAGATCAAATACCCCGAGAACTTCTTCGTTCTCCGTGGTAACCACGAGTGTGCGTCCATCAACCGTATCTATGGTTTCTACGATGAGTGCAAGCGGCGGTACAACATTAAGCTGTGGAAGACTTTCACGGATTGCTTCAACTGCCTCCCCATTGCGGCTATCATCGATGAGAAGATCTTCACCATGCACGGAGGTCTGAGTCCCGACTTGAACTCGATGGAACAGATCCGTCGTGTTATGCGCCCCACTGATGTAAGTGCTCTTTCCTATCAATATTGTGGGGTCTTTTCCTCGCCTTTCGTGAAAAGACGAAGACCAGACCCTTTTTTCATTTGTTGACTTAAGGGTCCTGGGAGCGATGAAACAATCCTTTCCAGGCTCCCTGAAGCCTTGAGCTTCGCCTGCTGACGACGATAGATTCCCGACTGCGGTCTTCTTTGCGACTTGCTCTGGTCCGATCCCGATAAGGACATCACTGGCTGGAGCGAGAACGATCGGGGTGTATCCTTCACATTCGGTCCGGACGTCGTGTCGCGGTTCCTTCAGAAGCATGATATGGACCTGATATGTCGCGCACACCAAGTCGTCGAGGATGGCTATGAGTTTTTCTCCAAGAGACAGCTGGTTACGCTATTTAGTGCTCCCAACTACTGTGGCGAGTTCGACAACGCTGGTGCGATGATGAGCGTCGACGAGAGCCTACTTTGTTCCTTCCAGGTAGGCTACCACAAACCAATCCGTATTCGAATGAGGGGAGCGTTCTCGAAACTAACGGGTATCTTCCTCGCATTAGATCTTGAAGCCAGCAGAAAAGAAACAAAAGTACGTTTACGGGGGCATGAGCTCAGGCAGGCCCATCACTCCTCCGCGAAAGCAAAAGAAGAAGTAAGGAATCATACGAGCTTTTCCATGTGCAGCAGGTTCGGGCGGAGATAAGAACGTCATAAGTCCCACACAATGTCACACTACAACGAGAGACCCAAATCCCCAACGACATTCGATGGCCACACATTAGACGATCGGCAGCAGCAGTACACCCCAGCCGCCCGAGAACCTCACGACACGCAGAACGTCTCAATTTCCCCTCCGCGCATACCAGACTCCAGCGACTCCCCCAGTCATTGATTTCCCGCTGAATGTGTTTCATTTCTATATGGAAGGTAGTTTCTGCTCCAAGTAGGGGTTGGTGTTTTCTCATTCTTGTTGATCTTCATTCTTCAACTTCCTTTTTCCTTTACCATTTTTTTCCCTTCCCATTGTCCAACTTGTGTTGTCCGAATTCATTTGACAGGAAGGGGAAGCGACGGGCTGCATCTGGTGTTTTCCAAGTGCGTTTTTTATTCAAAATCTTCCTGTGAGTGTAATGCCAACCAAATAAGCAACGACACGCCCGTGTCTTTCGAGCGTCCAAAACCAAGATTCTGCTCTCCCCGCCCTCTTCCTTCCTTTTCCCTTCGCCCATCTAGCCACATTGTCTATACCCCCACCCTACCCAGCAGACACCGATCCGTGGAAATGCATTCAGCTAGCTTGTCAATGGAATTCAATGCAATCGACACACAAACGACAATCCACCAACCCAACGTCCAAACTACTACCTACTTATCACGGAAGTGAAACTCATTATGCGGGAAAGCGGGGAGAATGATACAACCCAAACCAAACCAACCCGGAATAGTATGGTATGGTATGGAAGGATGTATGGAATGCACAGAACGGGAAAGGGTTTTTGTTGTTGTTGTTATTGTGGTGCCTGAATGACGTTGTTTTTTTCTCTCTCTCTCTCCCTTGCCCCCTAGGGGTATTGTATCCGTCTCGTGTGACATCGTGTGCATATATGTGGTGTGTATGTGTGTATTATCTGTATTATCTATCCTATTATATCTTACCTTGTCTTCTTTCTATCTTGCTTCTCTGGTAGCGAGTCGACTCATTGAAGGCGGTATTATTGCCTCATACTTGGTATTGATCGATTTGATTCGAGTGGTGAGGGTTGGTTTACATCATACTAACTAACTACTAACTATTTTCTATGTTTGTAGTCATTTTTACCTTCTTGAGGCGTCGCAAATCTCTCTCTCTATATATATACACAGAAATGGGGTGTGGTAGATGATGGATGAAGACGAAGGCCTTCATATACTATAGTATATCATAGTATCGTTCGTGTGCGTGTGATTAAATTCGAATTTGGGGGTTTTCGGTGTGTCGATACTAATATTAACTAACTATATGGGTAATGTTATGATGATTCTCATTACTGCGTATTCGGTCATACTATCTAGAGAACAGAAGCCAGCAATGGAGCAAAATGGATGAAGAGTTGGTGAGGGGGTTGGTGGGTGTGACTGAACTAGATTTTTACAGTACAAGGGGAGGTTTAAAGAGAATTGGGGGGGGGGGGGAGAACAGGATTTGTCTTTGTTTTATTCTGCTTTGTTGGTTGATTGTCTGGTCTTGGAAGGGCGAAAAGCAGAGAGAAAAAGAGGAAAAGGTGGCTACAACGAGATGAAAGGGACAAACGTGATCAAAGTGAGTACCAAGAAACTGGGTCGAAACATCAAAGGATCAGATCAAACTCCGAACGAAACGCACACGAAATTCATAGTATGAATCAATGTAGGAAGAAATGAACATCAGATGGTTGAACAATCGAGATATATTGTAGATGGATGGGTCATGGGGACTATTATGCCTAGTAGCGAGTACTTTCCTCCAGGCAGTTGTGATGACCTGTCTGATTGGACGGAGTAGAGTTCATTTCATTGAACTGCATTGGATTGGATTGGATTGGGATATATGGAGATCCTACACCCCCTAAAGAGGGTTCGGAGGGAGATGAGGGGATTCGTTTAGGACAGGGATCATCGAGATAGGTGGATAGGGGAACAAAAAAGAGTAGTCGGGATATATTGCAACAATAAAGTCAACAGCTGGCTGACTGGCTAGCTTAGACGTACTGAGACAGCCATCTGATACCTTCACCGTATCCTACATAGCACAGAACGATTAGCTCCTGATTGACACCGACTGGGACATCGAATTTTCCACTCACCCTGTCTCATGACAACACTGCACATGAACACCTCAATGGGCCGGATTCCCTCGAGAGGAACCTTGCCCTTACCCGTGGTCTGGTACAATCCAAGCTGGTGGCGAAGCTCGTCCTCGCTAACAGCATCGGGGTGGTCGATCTTGTTTCCGAGGATCAGGAAGGGAACCTTGGCCAGCTCCTCCATGGCAAGGAGGGCGTCGAGCTCGGCCTTGGACTCGGGGAAACGCTCGTGGTCCTTGGCGTCAACAAGGAAGACGATACCGCTAACTTCGGGGAAGTAGTCCTTCCACAGACGACGAGCTATTTAACGAGAGTTGCTACATTTAGTTTTTCTGATTTTGCTCTATACCACGGGGCTACGAGGTATATTACTCACCCTGCTGGTGACCACCCAGGTCAAAGGTCGTGAAGCGGTTGTTGCCGATGGCGAGCTCTTCGGATGCTGTATTGAAAGGAGTGCGGTTAGCCCTTGTCCGCGATATACAGTTTCCTTCGGTCGCTGTCGCATAGTCTCTCGCTAGCAGGGTCATGTAGGCAATACGTACTCGGGTGAGCAGTGGGCTGGAGGATGGCAACCCGGTCGTTCTATTATCAAACACAGATGTCAGCTTATCGTTCAGCTCTCTCGCAGCCCCATCCCTGCCGTGGTGGCAATCCCTTGCGATCGAAGTCCATCCCATGCGTTGTCATATCCACCGTCGTCGCCACCAAAGCGAGGTTCGCTCGCGAAAGCAATGGAGCTCACATACCTTCAGCATGTGCAGGAGGGTCGTCTTTCCGGCATTATCGAGACCGAGGAACAGGAGCTTGGCGTGCTTGTTGAGCAGGCCAAGGGAGGCCAGAATATCGTAGACTATTCGAGAATAATATATCAGTAATTTGGCACACAAGAGACCCAGAGAGCAAGAGGAAAGACGATGGAGAATCAATGGATCCAACATGGCGTGGAGGGTAGGTCTGCAGACCACCTGATCGGGGCCAAGTCGGCGGATGGCAAAACAGGGGAATACCTACACCAGTTAATGAGCCACATGGTGGAAATCGACTCAGAACCTCAGACTATGGATTTGTGAATCGGGTAGTAGCACGAGGCAGGTGCAAAATGGGCCAAATGGTGGTGGTGAACGGCTGGGCTGGAGATAAGAGCAGGAGAAGGAGCCAGGTTGCGGTGGCCGACAGTTGACGTTGGACTTTCGCTTGCCCGGACGCCTAGCCGAGCGCTTAAGCCAACTCAGCCGCCGGGAGATCATCCGCCCCGATCGAGTCGTTGGAACAACCACTATAGATTACATTTCTTTTTTTACACAATCGTCCAGTCATATGCAGAAAGAAAAAAAAATCATCATACGTTTGCATATTTAATGACACAGTCATTCACTCAGTATCTACAAATTCGATAACGAAAGCAAACGGGGTATACGCGTAGCAAACCGCCTCCATGCAACCCGGGCTAACAGAGCAATGATGCCGACCGAAAGTCAAATCCGCCGCTCAGCAGCGCGGAGGTGAACAAGGAAGAAATGAAGGAAAGGAAGAAAGAAAAGAGAGAAAGAAGGAATAAACAAGCTATGTATAGTGGGAAGGGCGAAGAGAAAGGGGGACAGGCGAAAAGAAAGAATCACAGGTAGCCACCCCTGTAAAATGCAGACGGGACCCTCCGTGCGAATAGGAATCCGATGGACACGTTGCGAGGACAAGAATAGTAACATCGAAGACAAGGGTGTAGCGAACAACGCTCAATTGGAATTTGTACACCTCGTCGATCCACCGGTCATGAAAGTGGACGACTGAAAGGGTGATAAGAAAAATTCGAACTATGTACAAGAATTTATCGGATCCCGTGCGGAATTTGAGGTCTAAACAGATAGGACGAGCTGGGCGTTCTCTCCAACGCCGTAAGCTCTGCACCTCTCTGCAACTTCGAGGCCAAGCTCCTTCATCCGTTCAGCACCTTTTCCGGGGATCGGTCGCCGTACCATCTGCTCCTTGGCAGCTTTGCGGCAATGCTGACGCCAGAACTTCTCCTTGCGTTTCTGGCGTTTTTTCTCGAGACCCTCAACAATATCAATGGGGCCTCTGGTGTGCACCTCACGGGTGCGTGACGACTCGCGCTCCGGCGATTCGTAAACGGGGACAATGCCAGACCAGCGGTGAGACTTGTCCAGGCTAGTAAAGAAAGGGTTGGGCGTCCGAGGCAAGGACTTGGTACGAGACATCGCGGGCCGTTGCACCAGTTCACTGATGTTCAGTCCCCGCGAGGGGACAGTAGGAGCCTCGTCTGCAGATGCCAGGTCATCCTTCGAAGACCGCAGCTTCATCGGCGGCGGCGGAGAGCGAAGACGCTTTGGCGAGGAACGGCCCTGACGGCGAGGCGGAGGTGAAATCATGCGTCTGGGAGATGTACGAGGAGAAGGCTTCTGCGCAGAGTCTCTACCAGTCCGTCCCCGAGGTCCTTCATCCATGACAGATTCCTCGACATCATCGTCCTCATCCTCCTCATCCTCGGGATCCGAAGTGGGAAAGCTGGGATCGATATCTTGAGGGATGACAATCTGCTTGGAAAGACGGCGCTGCTCGATGCAAGACTTGTAGGCAGCCTCCAGAGGCCGATCTTCGTCGAAAGTTCCGCAGACGAAGTCCGTACTGTCGGGAAGGTTAGGTGTGCCAGGACGCAGCTTTGGGATCTTCATGGGCGATCGGCTAGTTGTCTTAGCAGCTAAGACAGGTGACCATCTTTGCTGCTGCTGCACATCGTTGGCAGAATCGAAAGATGTGTTCGAGTCGCGACGACTGAAGGGGTGGCGAGCAATGTCGATGTTTTGAGGGCTAGTGGCAGCAGTAGTGCTGGTCGGAGCCCAGAAATCGTATTCCGAACCATCATCGCTCTCGTCTGACTCCGCAAAGCCGGCTTCATTATCCGATTCATTTCCATCGTCAGAAGAGAAGTCGTGAACGGTTGAATCGTCATCAGAATCCTCGACATCATCTTCGTCATCTTCTTCTAGCGCCTCTTCCTCTGCTTCCTCTCCAAGCTTTCTAATGGCATTTTCCTTCTTCATACAATCATTAAGCGTGATCTTCTCCGGGTACTCTCCAGACTTCGTTACCCATTCGTCATCCTCCTCGACGGAGCTGGCGAATTCGTGAAAGCGAGTAGCCTCGGACTCTTCGAACTTACCCAACCCCTTGGTCGGGACACCGCGGCGATCGATCTTCTGCTCCTGGGGAGCCTTGCTCACCGGTGAGGGAGCAGCCTTCTCCGGAGAGGCCTTGCGCGCCATGGGAGCAGGTGATCCGCGGGGACGCGGCCTGCAGCCACTGCGAAGTGGCGACCGCTCCCGGCGAGTCTCGGGATCCCGTGCCGGGCAAACAAAGGTGAGAACGGTCCTCCGCTTGGGCTCAGTTGGTGTAACGCTGGCGTCATTGATCTTCGTGACAGGTCGCTGTGGTGAAGGAGTTTGTGGCATCTGCTCCTGAGCTTTGCGTCCGCAGGCGAAGCTAATACACCGCTTGCGTCCCAGGTTCGCCTCGACGGCCGACTCGCCAACTTCCACAGCCTCCGCCTTCCTTTTATCACCCATCGAAGACGTGGTGTGGGTCAAGTGAGAGGGCAGAGGCGGGCTGGGTGTGTTGGATAGAGAAGGGCTTGTGAGGCCACCATCGCTAGTCAACTCGGCTGTAGAGATGCCGCTAATGTTGGTATAGGTGTAGGAGCGGTAGAAGGAGTGCTCCTGAGATGGTGAATGATGGTCGGATGGGCTTTGTGGGGGGCTGCTCTTGAGGGCGCGGGTGAGGAGGGACTCCTTGCGGTCAGTCATGGCGGCGGGGGCCTTGACGTAAACGACACCGTCGTCCATGTTGTTCATCGAGGTATTCAAGAATCGATGATCAGGGGGCTCATCAATGTCCTCAACCATGTCAGCTTCTTGAGGGGCAGACTTGCTGGACTGATGAGGTGAGAGTAGCATCTTCAGTAGGTTATGTATTGAGGCAAATGTTCGTTCACCACCACGCAAGTGCGCCATCCCTTCGAAGATTAGGTATATTAATAGTGAGAGGGAAGACAAGAACGAGTAGGTGAGAGAGGTTGTGTCGAGGTCAAGTGGGAGGGTTGGCGGTAGTATAGTGTGACTCGACGGAATGGTGGCGGTAAGTAGTTATTATGAGAGTATTCAGACGTATTGGTTGATAGGGGAGAGAAGAATGAAGAATAATTGCATCAATCAAAAGAGTAAAATAGAAGATGCACTCTCGTTATCGATCAATAGTACTACTGATCGACCCAGAGGGCGGAAATGAAGGGTGTCCTTAGTAGGACGATGATTGTCATGATATAGAACACATGGTGTAGTAGTAGGAAAGAGGCGTAGTATAGTAGTTTAGTAGGTCCAAGAAAAGGAGAAGAGCGTCAGGTATGCGGCCAAGAGATGGACTTACGCCTTCTTCAAAGATTGGCAGCTCAAAGAGCGCCAGAAGAAGAAGACGCGTCGAAAGAGTTTCGCAGGTGCAATGTGTTGGCAGTGCTAGGTGGGATTGAGATGAAGAGAAGGAGGAATGTAGAGATGATCGGAAAATAAAAATGTAATTAAGGGAGGGGGGGGGAAGTGGTTTGCGGAAAGGCGAAAATAAAAAATCAAAAATCAAAAATCAAAAATCGAAATTTATTATTAAAAGAAAAAAATCAAAAATCAAAATCCCAAGGAAATCCTCGGGGGTTGTCGCCGTGGTATTGTTACCATACCCTCAGTACTGCGTATGAACGGGGTAATAGAAAGTCACCAGCGAAAAGGAGGGCGGGTAAAAAGGCGCAGTGTCAGCGAGTAGTAAATGACGATTCGCAGGGTAAAAGAGGCGGGAGAGCGGCGCCAGGTTTGGGAGCGAGTGACCGGGTTAGGGTGGTCAGGAGTGGTCGCCACACACTGGCACGGCAGGGCAAGGCCGAAGGAGGGCAGGGAAAAATGGTGGAAAAACAAAAAAGAGCACCACGCCCATTACCCACGATTACAATTTCGGATCTTCTCTGGGGCTTCTTTTCCTTCCTTCTGCAGGCGGACGAGAGGCGCTCGGTCCAACCAACCCCGCCAAGCCCAGACCCACCCTGTCGTTCTCCTCGCCAAATCCATGCATGCTTCGGTTCCTGCGGCTACGTGACGCTGGCCAGTACCAATACCGTGGTAATCTTCGCACGCCCGTCAATACACACCCGTCAGGTTACTTACTAGAGGGTAGTTACCGTCAACTGAAGCGAAAAGACTCATTATGGAGGGAAGAGGCTTAGAGTCATAAAGGATTGGAGAAGAGTCATTCAAAGGAACCTCTAGCTGAGAATCACGGATCTCATTGTCTGCTATGATCTGCGAGATGACTGTTGTTCCTTTGACCTGATTCAGGAGTCACCGGTTTTGTAACGAGCCGGTTTCATCCATGGTGGGCAAGCCAGCACCGAAGTACAAAAAGCAAGAAAGACTATGAGGCATTTTGGAGGTTGGCTACCAAGCCGGGCTAACCTCGATCTTACTAACCCGGTCAGTAAGAAATCATCCCAGACCATACTTACTGTGTAGTCTAAATTGGGAAAAGCTGCCACAAAAAAAACATCGCCCCCCCCCTCCATCTACACTAAGAGTCTTGGAAAACTATAGTACGTAGTGGCCGAAGAACCAGAGACTGAAAAGTAAGGGGGTGATCCATTCTTTGTTTTCTAGAACATATTCAGCGAAAAGGATATTTTATCTGATCGGAATGTCGTACAAATCTCAAGGGTTTACGACAAGACAGCGAATAACAGAAGGTCCAGAGCAAAGAAAGGCTGTCAGACAAGGAGGGCGGCTACTCAATGAGAAAGAATGAACCCCCACGAGGACAAGACAGCGCAGGAGCCAGGACAGGCATCATAGCGGCACGAGCTGCGACTGTTGTGTGGGAAAGTTGCCCTACCGACCGTCGGGGCGGGTAATGCCAGGGTAATTACGAGGGTGACCACGGCAAGCAGACCCGACAACTTGACCGTGGGAGGACCAACCTGAACCCCGTCGGAGTCGCGCCGAAGCCGTTTCAGCGGGCGCTGCGCTTTGGGCTTAATACACAGTAACCCTTGAGCTTTGAATGGCCACACATAAATATTGCATCTAGCATTGATTTAAGCCTAGCATCAAACCCCATCAGCCGGCTCACTTATGCGCTGCTTATGCGTGAAAGTGGTTTCTTAAGGTACTAGGTTCCTCGGCGTAGCTACCTCTTCCAACTGATTTGGTCGGTCGCAGCTCCAGGAGTGCATGCCACCCACCCTACCTACTCCATACACACCCAGCACACCAAAAGTAGACTACTATGGTAATTTCGTTAGGAAGGCCAAGATAACACCCAGAAGACAATCACCATTATAGTGCTACCAATGTGGTGCTTGGCACCACGCCTCATTCTCAAAGACTAGACAAAGTGACAACAATTCAAGTCCTTCAAAACACTGCCTCCCTTTCCCCCCTGCTGGTTGCCATTATTGTTTTACAATCCCAATAACAATGCTTGGTATTTCTTGTCATTGCTCACTATTGCATTTGCCGAGACTTTCCCTAGCTGGGCTTAAATCTGGTGGTTCCTGATCCGGAAAGCGATGGTCTTGGCCCTGTGACGTAAGGTTTCCCCCTAGTCATGCTGTGTCACGGCAGTCTTGAAGGTTATCTCAGTCTGAAGCAGTAGAAGGAGAAACTTGTGCGATGCCGATGATGCGGGCCAGAACGACAAACTTGCTTGCTTGCTACAGACATCACTGGGAACTGTGAACCAACTGCGAGAGAAGTCTCGACGATTCTATCCCAGTTTCTCGGACCGACTAGACCCCTATCCCCGTGCTATGACGAGGTGAAATAAACTGAACAACTCTTCAGTTGCACCAACTCTACCCCAGAGTACTACATTACAACAGCTACCACATCAATAGAACCAAGAGAATAAAAATTCCCCGACTGTGACCGGGATCGATCATGACGCTCTCGAGTCCCGGAAAGTTTGCTTGAGGTTACAGCGACTGGCAATGGGACAAGCAGGTGGTTTCCATGTCTTCGATCTGCCACGCTCAGCTCTCAAGGTTGGTTCCGATAACCGTACCCAGGAAAGCTGGTACCTAGATCGGTCCAAATGAGAATGATGAGTAGTATATGGGAACCTCAAGCCATGCTACAGAACTCCCAAGTATGTTGTTGACTAGAAGCACCGCCACCCGATTGACAACAGCTGGAAGTGACAGTCGGTCTGGGCGGGAATAGTTGGCTCTTGGCTGTACAACATACTTGGACTCAAGATGATCGGACCAGTGTTGCCAGAAATAACCAGATTAGATCTGAACTATGCAAATAAGGACTGGAACTAGTAGTCATGGCTCATTGTTCAATGGATTCCTCAAACAATAGCACGATCTTGGGATAGTTTGTCGCTGGTGGTTTGACAGCCGAGTTCTTGTCTTTCCCCCGGGTAACTCCACAGTGATCATCCCAGGGATGGTCACCCAGGTAGCAGCCAATTCTAGAGATAGAGTTTTGTCTCATCCAGCAACTTGTCCGTTTATCTCTAGGATCTCAGCCTTGGGGACCACTAAGCTAAGAATTAGGCATGTCCGACAAGAAAGGCTCAGCAAACTCAGCGCGGGTGGCAGTGATGGGAAGGGGAGAGCGCAAGAGGAAGAAGGAAGAGCCCATCGGGATCGGCCTGGTATCCATACATACAGACCGATGCTCATACATACGCCGTACATACGAGACCCGTGCCAAGACCACCCCCAAATCCGGACTGGAAACGATCAAAACTGCATCTCAGATCCCATCCTTCACTTCAGGCGATCGTGCCGTCTTTCCCAGACTGGATTGAGTTGTGGATAGAGTATCTCCGGAAGAATGGAGACAGGGAAGAAGGGCAAAAAGCAGTATGGTGACGATGACCAGATCTATGCCCGATGGCAAAGGGCTGAGAGAAGCGGTCAGCGCCAGAACCAGAGAACTACAGAGTAGAGACCCAAACTGCATCACCCTTCTCTCTAATGACTGACAGCCGGGCGGCGGTTCACCGAGCTCAAAACCACGGTAGCGATCTCCAAAGCGGAGACCATCGAGCGGGCTAATCCCACCCCCATCCACTTCCACACCAACGGGCTTACAATCAGAAACCTGCACAATTTACGGTCGCTGAGGATGGGGGGCCCAGCTAGACTACTACCAAACGCCTCACGATTTGCGAAGCCTTGAAGTGCTGGGACAAGCTTCATGCGATTCAGGGATAACCCCCACTCAGTGCCATGGCTGCTCCGGGAGATGCAGCTTCCCACAATCGCAGCAGCCAATCTGCGCGTTTCGGGAGTACTTTTCTTTTGCTGTTTTTGCCCGCTTTTATCCTCGATCCCAGCAATCAGGATCGATCCAAATCTCAGCCAGTCATGGGAATAGGAAAAAAGAAAAAAAAAAAAAAATTGCTGGGGAAGTACTAACTAGACTAACTATCGGCACTGGCAGTCCTTGGAGTTAGTAGTACTAACTTACTGCTTTCACGAACCAACGGGGTCGGCCCATTTACACGATCCTTCGTTACCTCGTGAAGTCTTACGACTCCAATTGCCCTTTTGGACATTCCGGCCCTGGTTCATTCAACTAAGTATGCTGGTTGTTATTGTTGCTTACGGCGTGGGTTGAAGCGCCAGTTTCACCCCCGTTACACATTGCATATGCCGCTGTTGGGGGGAAGGAAATGCGACCTTTTAGCGACCCCATGCTTGGCTACCACACTCACACGCACACTCAGTCCCCTCTGAAGGATCCTCATCCATGGCCGCCAACACGGATTCTCCGCACTTGGATCGAGAACAAGATACAAGGTACATGCGACTTATGTATACTTATGTTCCGAATACATATGGTGTATGTGCTACGCGGCCTAGAAGCCAAGATTGAAACAGAGTTTCCGCAATTAAACTCCGACCGGCGATGGAAAGGAAAAACAGAATAAGAAATATAAACTATATACAATCATTCTTTCCAAGTGCTCGTGAACAGCGTGCAAACTTTCGATCCTCATTGAAGAGCTGAAGATCTCTGGCTGAACGGCATGGCCGAGGGAAGGCAAGCAAACCCCGAAGAAAAAGGAAATAATGAGGAAGGGGAAAATAATAAAATAAAATCTTAATTGAAACCCAAACTCCAAAGGCGACTCTTACAGGAGGAGAAGGGAAACAGTACAGTAGGCAGGTAGAGTCTGCTACCACGATGGTCACCGGCCACCCGGAAGAGGAAATGCTATGTGGCATACGAACAACCGTCCTCAACCCCATCCAGTTCTTCCTCCCCCAGCCTTTTCTGGGACAGGATGGCTACTATGCTAGCTTGCATATTGATGATCAAACCACCAGCAGCACCTGGTGGAGATTCTGAACTGTCGCGCGTGCGAGTGGACCACCATGAGATCGATTATGGAGACGAACAGACCAGAGAGCATGAATGGGATTGTCTCTTTGGTGGGCGGATGCCTCAGGGCCACTTTTTTCGGCGCGGTGCTATGGTATAACTGCTACTGCTACTGTGAGAGGTTGACAGGCAGACAGACGCCGGGATCAACGCCGGATAAGAATAGCATTAACCTAACAAATACCGACTGAGCTACCCAGGATTAGGATTAAGGATTAATACGTCCGCTTATCGACCTCCGCGCCCAGGATCAAAAGTCCTGCTGCGGTGGTGTCATTGGCCTGCAGCTAAGGCGACTAAGAGTTAGAGCCTTGTACCTTAATGGCCGACGTCGGCCTAAGAGCGGTTTGTATGAGGGATTTTATTCTCCCTAGGTCGATGCCCTAACGACGCTGACTGGACCGTCGATGGCTTTCTCCTCCTCTTGCCCTCTCCACCAGCACGGGACTCGCGCTTGGATTCGCGCCGGCTTCAAGTTGCGATGCACGACGCACCCAATCGAGTAATCCATGCCCCAGAAAAAAAGTCCCAGCGACTCGCCAGTCCGGCACGGCAACAAGGTGCCTTTTGCCTGTCTCATGGTCAGCTAGCCGTGCGACACCCAGCTTCATTTCCGCCGACCCAGCATTGTCCATCTGTACCCCGTACAACCATCGTGATTGATGGATCGGGGTCTTGGACTCGGTCAATTGGCAAATCATCGTCGACTCCCCTGGCTGTTGAGCTAAACCCACCCCCGGACATCAGACATCCCATCCATGGCTTTTATGCGGATAAAAACGAGGCTGCCGTCATGACATATGCAAGTGCGCCTCCCACACTCCGAGCCCATGACTGAGCGCATGGCATGATCAGTTATGGAAGGATTCAGAACGTCGTCGACGTTAATCAGCCTACTCCTCCTCGCTTCGATTCATGTAACCACAATTACCATACCTTCCGTATACCAGGTATTGGGTACACGGAAGATAAGATGGTCGCTAATGCAGCAATCTAGTCGCACATGGGGGGGGTACGCCCTTGCTTCAGTCACGATGAAGAAAAGAAGAGACAACAAAGAACAAAGCCATTGCAAAGGCGGATGAAGATCCAGAACCCAAGTACTCCAGGACGGGCCGGCCTGCACGTCGAAATCTTACCGTGGTAGGCAAACGTCTAGAATGTGTCAGTGGCAGCATCGAGCCCAGTTCTTCAGAGGGATGGCAATGCCCTCATCATTGAGCGCATGATCGACATACCACACTGGGCTGGGGAGACACCGCGGATCATCCGAAACCTTCAACATCACAGACATCACAGCCTCTTGGGAGAGTCATGATTGCGACTGAGACGGCCAAGAGGGCCGCCAAGATGGCCAAGGCATATACATTTCACCCCATGCAACCATGAAGATGGGGGATCCCTTCACTTGAGAGGCGGAATTGAAAAACCGAGTGGTCCCCGTTTCGACTGCCCCTTGCTCAGTGCTCATCCCTCCCCTCTGGACATTCCACTGCAGTTCTTGGCAACGTCCTGTGACCTTGCCCCCGGTACGACGGAGAATTGCCGCCAAGATGATCACAGCCAAGTTGCGAACGACGCCTGTTGCGGTGGAATGAGCTTCTGGCTAGAACCCCCCATCGGCGTGGGAGAGTGGTCGGTCCCCGGTCTTTCCCGGAGTCCGGAGCTACAGCGACCGACCTACTGTCCGCCGTCGACACATTCCTTCTCCTTGCCTCCCCGGTGCAACTGGTCCAAGAGGATCCCGCGTTGAGTTGGTGACCGGCCAAGGATGCCAAGCGCCATTCCAAATTCCAAATACTTGGGCGAATAACTGCGGCTGTGGGATGGTGGAGGATGGGAGGAAGCATCTCAAGAGCACCAAGTAGATACTGGCCGGTCTGAAAAGGAGTATCACCCCCCGGAAGGTGGGAGATCTTCGTCGATCATCTGCTCCTATATTGCAGGACGAGTTCTTGGCGAACGATTACCAAGCATGACCACGTCGAAGTTTGCTCAGGGGGAAAGAGAGAGCGACTAGGCTATGTTGCAGCTTGAATCGATTAGACGTACCCAATTAAGGGGGCTTAGAAGAAGACAAGCTGTCCAGGTCCTCGGACACGTCTGTCTGCACATCACAGACTGTCCACGGGAGCGAGTCGATACCGGGAGACAGAGTGTGTGTCTGTCTAAGCCTCATTGCAATACGGACTAAGTCTAAGATACCCCTTTTCATCTTACCTCTCCGCTGATCCGGAAGAATAGCAACTCCGGCCAGCAAAGAGCATCTCGCGATTCCCTCCGAGCCGGCGATCGACCGCTCTTTTCTCAGGAAGGGTTGCCAGAGAGGAATGAATTTCCTGATGGCGGACCGGCCGTTCTACCAATAACAACCCCGCGATTAAAGTTCGTTCACGCCAGCACAGGTACATATAGTCTACCGGGACTCCAACCAGCAGGCCGGTACCAATGCACTGCAGGGCCCTTTGCAGCGAGACTACTGTACGGCGTAAGGGAGGGAAGTCAAAGCCCGTTGGCGATCGATCTGGTCATCGGACAAGGCAAAGGTGGAGAGAGAGAGAGAGAGAGAGACAAGAGTAAGAATAAGAAAAGAGGAGACGTGTGTTGCCGCTTCCAGTAATCTTCTCGAAGGTCTGACGTTTCTTTTCCCCGCAGGGCTGCTGCTACTCTCAACCCTCCGGATTCGTCGTTCTGATTCAAGAACAGCATCTGATCATCGGGAATCATTATATCATCGAGGCGGATACCCAATACTACCTCGGTCATACTTCGTAGAGGAGGGAGGGGAAAATGCGATCGGCCGCTTCAGCTGGCAGATGGCAGATGCTCAACCGACGTCATTTTCTTTAAATATCCCAACCACCGGAACCCACTGACAACAGGCACATTAGATTAATATTGGTAAATTAATTAATGAATAATGGATAACATCAGTCGTGAACAAATCATTACTTCAGCCAACTACAGTACATTTAATAAGTAGTTACTTTGTACGTAGTAGTAGTAGTTAACTAGGTTCCTCGTCAGCTGCGGACAAAACAAAAAAACCAGTGACATCATACGAGTTTACCTCGACAAACTCTCTCTCCCTCCATCTCCTCCCGTGTGTGTGTGTGGGATGATAATTATTACGATGGATGAATGGATGGCTGGCTGATCTCTCCCACGTAAGCGACACCTTTACTAGTTACTACTACTAGGTAGGTACACCCTACTGTAACAGTTAATGTAACATGAAGCATAAGCATATCATCGTAGAAAATCTTACTTGTATCACGATTAACTATGATTATTACTATTACTTACTAAAGTCACAAATAATGTATGTAAGTAATAATTCAATTTGATTTCATCTTTCTTACTTCATGTTAATACCTGGTAATTATCCTTTTGAATCTTCTTCCAGATGTAAATTGATGGTAATTTGATTTGATTGCATGGTTGATCCCAGACAAATATTGTACCTACTAGTATGGTAAATGCCAAGCAGTAGAGCAAATAGGCAGATGCATATATTATAGCATCATTAATATATATATATATAGTATGAATTTATTTTTATCACCATCATCATCATCATACAAGTTACTAACTATTGTAGTTAGTATGATGTATATCGTTGCAGACTTTGTCGTCATGATCGCTGGTTATCTTGTTCTGGCTTTCTTCTTCTTCAATCTTCACCATAATGCATATAACGCTTAACGCATACATAATTTCCTATGTACATAAGACAGATTACTATCAAACTAACCCATTAACTACCTTTGCTCTTAGTTACAAACTTACAACAAATAACTTAGCAAGGGGCATAGGTAGTTAGGATATAGTTGGGTCAATAGGTAGTGACTTGGTTGGGTATATATGACAAAAGCAAGTAAGTACTTTGCTTCGGACAGTAGTTGTGATATGATCGGTACTATCAACCCCCTACTATGCTCCATGTACATAATCATGTTGGATAATGATCTCATCATCGTATCTGTAGTTCTTTATTTGCTTCCTTTATTAGTTGTCCTGGGAGATAGATAAGGCTTCTTAGTGGGAGGTGTGTGGTTGGGTGTTGGGTGTTGGATGCTTATGTGTAACAAGTAACTATCATAGATGGTGTTTAGGTACTAGTTGGATGATGATCTGGCTGGAGGGCTATGATGCGAGGGGGCAGGGGATGTTACGTAGCGACTAAGTGTCTTTCACTATTTGGGGGGTGATGCTGCGTGATTGGAATTATGAATTATGAATTATTGTCTGAATACACAAACTAAACGGTAGTGCTGCACTTGGACCTTCTGAGCTGTAGAAACCATCTGGATGGTGTAACAATCCCTATCCCCATATGGTGACTCGCGTTCATAGATATTGGTTGTCCTCGTAGGCATATGCAGCAACTACTCGACCATGCTGTTGAGCTCGAGTCAGCCTCCACCACCGCACAATCACCGCCTTCGCCCAGAGGATTCGGTTTTGTGTTCGTACAACTGCAGCGCATTGTCTGGCAATATCCCTTGCGATGACTCGGCGCTTATCATTTCGACGCGTCAGGATCCGTCGCCATGCTGTCTGGAGTACTGTCGCAGCTCGCGCGCGCTTCGTAGCTGGCAGAAGCCGCGAACAGAGAAACGCGAGTGCTCCAATTGTAAAGTCGCTGTCGACGACATGAGTCTTTGAAGAGGGAGACACGAGTTTGGCTGGTCTATGTTAGTCGCTATGGAAGGAGTAATGTCATTGGTAAACTCACCGAATTCTGCACTGCATCCCAATGCCCGCAGACGCGATTCTAGAGATGCTGTTCTGCTATGATCCTCGGCATGCTCCACGAGATATCCGTCGTATTCGTCAACAATACTTTCGTATACCTTGCCATCGCTGAAGCTCGTGCTCAGGTTGTCAACCGATACGCCCTTGAGATGTGCAAGGGTAGATGCCCATTGCTTGAGCAGCAAGGTTGGTTCGTCGCTCTCATCATTCCCGCTCAATGGCATGCCATCCTCACCAGCCTGAAAAGCAACTTTCTGCCTCAGTCTTTCAATCTCCTTTTTGACGTCCCCCCAGTCTACTAGCCCAGCAAGGCCCCATGTGCTGACCAGCTTCCACAACAACGCAATGGTCTTCTCGCGGTGTCCATCGACGATATCTTCTGCGCGTATGTCTTTCGCGAGCTTCCTTGTCTCTTGGGCATAAGCCAGCGCATTCAAGGCAATTTGAATGTTAAAAAGCTTTACCGTGCGGCTCCTGCATGGGAACTTCAGATGACTCGAAAGCGGCAAACTTCCGTTCGACACTTCACCGGATGAGGTTGAAGGATAGAATAACAATTCCACAATCCTTGTCAACCTCACACCGTCCCGAAGATCTACAGCAAGGTTGCCAACCCGGTAGTCATATTCTTCCAATGGATGCTGCTCATAACTCAATTCGCAGTCCAAGTGGCTCAATGCTTTGATGATGTCCCCGCACGATGGCAGCAAGAACCGACCCAGTGCCTGGAGCACCGCACTAGAGGACTTGACAGGTGATGAAGAGAGGAAAAGGCGTCGCGGAACGGCTGTCCCATGGCCCATTCTCGCTTTGTCCAGAAGGACAACCATCATCATGCTTCGAAGAACAGTCCGACGGTATGCCTGGCCAGCTGCACCGCCATTCTCTCCGGCAGCGATCTTTTCTTGAGGGTCAATATCCTGGTTTCGTAACAAGAATGCATCCAGGAATCCTTCCAACTTTCGTTTCATCGCCCTGTCATTATCCGAGGCATCGTCTCCATGAACCAACTTAGAGGTGGGTATCGTCCTTCCAATGATTGCTTCCACCGCGGCTCGCAATGCTCGCAGGTCGTAGGTCTTGATCCAAATATCCAAGAACTTCCGTTTCAAGCCCAGATCGTTGTGAAGACGGCTACTGCGCGTGAGCACGTCTTTTGGTATACTCAAAGCGCCGTATAACAATGATGCTTGAAGACGTTTGTGGAGGTGTGCGAAAGATGCTCCCTGGTACAAGGTGAGGAGCTCATGTCGAAGCATGGCGTGGCTGTCGATTTCTGGCTCCTCATAAGTACATTGGAACATTTCATTGACCAACTGTGTTATTGCCACCTCCTGGTGCGAGAGCCAATTCTCTTCGTACAGTGCCGGGTTTGTGATGTTGTCTGAGATAAGTGGACAATCCTTCGCAATAGGCTTCGTGTTGTTACGCGATGTAGTCGATTTGGATACTATGCTTGTTTTTGATGGCCTCTGTGACGTGGATAGATTTGAGGTTCGTATAGAAGCGTTTCGGTTGTAGTCTGATGTCAAACTTGGCTTCATGGTGCTATTGTGTTCAGACTTGTTCTGTCGTGCTTTAGTGGTGTTTTGGCTGTTGCTCAGTACATTGCTCCTCTGCTGAGTGTTGCTCGTCTTGGTAGATAGAGGCTTGGATGTAGGCTTTGCAGAGGCATTTGTAGCACCAGCTCTTCTAGCTGCCATCTGAGGAGCATTTAGGCGGTTTCCCAAATCCTCCTTGGCTTTCAGGGCCTGATGTATTTTCTTGCCTTCAGCGATAACTGTTCCTGGAGGCACATTTTCCTTTCCGCCGTTCTTCCCGGCAATGTCGTGGTGTATGCAGGACTCCTGTATTACTTTAGAGCTTGGCTTCAATGGAGCCCGTTGAGCAGACGATGCGAGAGATCGTTTGGCTTGTCGCTTCTTAGAAATCTGTGACTCCAAGCTGTTGACTTGAGTATCTTCATTGATACACTTGTCCAAATTGTCCGACTTGGGCGGGCTGAAGAGACCCATAAATACACTGGCCACTGTACCGTCATCCGGGGGAATATAAACCGTGTTACGGCGTACATCCGTCTTCAGGCTATTTTTTGCCTTCTCCTGACCATCTGCTCCATTGATGCGCATCAAAAGCGCGTTGTTTTTCTCTGTGTCCATTCTCTTACTTGTTGACTTGTGAGCTAATACTTCTTGACGCGACTGCGTGTCTGGGCTTGGACCGAAGCTGATTTTGGGGCGAAATCTCTGAGCTGGCTGCGCAAGTAAAGATGTTTTGCGGCTCGTGGTCGGTGCTGCTATGCTCGAATCCCGCTTCGGCTTGTATGCGGGCTGTGCAGCTTTCTCTCCATGGTCTTCGTGAATAGCAAAGGATGTGCCTGTCTTGGTTCTTCGTCTGGGCTTGGCCCCTGTGAGAACAGACTGTTTGGCTTCGGTCGTGAACTCGATGTTAGCAGTATCGTCCCAGCTGCCCAGACTATCTTCCCACATGCTGTCGGACGAGCTTCTGTTGCTGCCCCGGCTGAAGAATGAAGTGCTCGTCTTTGAAGGGCAAGGGGTCGTGGCTTCGTACAGAAAGCCGGACATATTGAGAATAATGTAAGGAGAATCCTTTTAAAGTAGTCTTGATGTTCAGGCAGTGCCTCTATTCCATGGAGATAATTCGTAAATAATTATCCTGACTTCTGTATGGCGTGTCAGGTTCAATTGTCGGTTGGGAGCTAATATTCAGTTGACATTAGAAGTAGAGGAAGGCCTTCAAGTTATATGATGGGATGACCTGTCAAGCTTCGGGGGCGAGATCGAGGCTAAATCATAGAAAGTTCGGTCGAGGATGGGTCTGAGGTATGGAGACGCGATGTTGACGATCCGTTGCCCGTGCAACGGGAAGGGGGTTGACACCTTAGGCAGCCATCGTGGATGGCAAATCGAGACACCCTCAATCACAGTTGCTCCTGCCTGGCCAAGGTCATTGAACATCCTTCACTAGGTGACTCGCTGTGGGTGCTACTTAACGTAGTCCTCCACATTCTTCAAGGTCCGATGCGACCACTGACTACTTTTCTAGAATATTAATTTAGTCTCTTTTAGGTTAGATGTCGATCACATACAAAGGCCTAACGGTGTCCACTGAGGAGTAATTAAATAAATTGTTGCTGCACGAACAGCATCCCCTCGTATTCGTTTAACATCCCCATGTACAGAGTAGTAGATATTAAATCTATGAAGCATTACAACAATCCCGATGGCGAAGAGAGCGAAATTGATAGTGCAAGGAGACGTAAAGCTGCATGTAACTGCTTACGCCACAGCAAAATTGCCCCCTGTATGCTGTAGGGTCCGACCAGGATCCTCATTAGGCACGGCGCATGTGCAGATGGCAAGGAGACATGGAAGTTGAAAAGATATATGTGGCAATGTGCAGTAGGCTGCAGTGAGAGACGAATTTGCCGCCCCTGGCTTACCTTGTCATTTTCTCTCGAGATCCAGTGCCAGTCTGTAGTGATGATGAATAGGCGTGTCTGTCGTTGAAAAGTAATGAGCCACTTGAAACAACCTCAATGCAGCATCAATAAATCCTATGCCAATGTTTGAGTTCTTGGTATTAGCCATCAAGAGCCGTGCTCCAAGGCTGCCTCAAATCCGAGCAACATGAAACAAGCCGTTTGAATGTGTACCCCGAGGTAATAATGGTGACATCCGAGATGCCACGCGGGCTCCAACATATGCTCGCTGCTGAAACCTCGGTCTGCCGTAGTTCACAAGACGTCAGTTCCACCCAAGTTTTGGTTGATGAGGGGAAAAGTCAAAGCACAGACTTGCGATCATCCCCTCGCAAACTAACTTGTGTGATCCCCGTTTGAGTCCGTTGAGAAAGCCTGGGGGGTGTAACCCATCGCGAGCGCTCACTGGATGGAAAAAGAGATTAGCAGTGCCCTGTAGGAATGAATCGGCCAGATCGAATCGAGCTGATTGATTCGCACAAGGGGAAAAAGGAAGCCCACCGAAACGGTGGGGAGGGGGGCGCCTATTCTTAGTTAGGAATTTCTGGTTTGCAGGTTAAGAGAAAAAGGAAACGGACAAGGCCGGGCGGTCGTCGGAGCAGCGCCAGCTCCGATTCGAGCAGAAAAAGAGAAAGCGCAGGCAATCCAGTTCCCCAGACACACACATGGTCTGATCTTCAACGTGGCCGCTGCACAGGCACCTTCGTTCGGGCTTTCTCCTTGTTCTTCAACCCAGAGTGTCTCCATCTGCCAGGGGTAGATTGCTATGTATATCCTGCGCCGGCCTTAATCCCGCTTACTATAACTCCTCTTGCGTATCCACTCGCCCTCCCTTACAACCCGCCGCGCCTCGGATTTCAACAACTAGTCAACTTGCTTTAGCCTTTAGCTCGTCGCCCTTCTTCCCCCCCGTTCCCATTCGATACTACTGACTCGCTCCTCCACTTCATTGCCCTCTCCTTGAGTCGACTTTCCCACGCGCCCCATTGGACTGTCGCGGAGATGGGTTTGCGATAATTCGCAACTGAACGCGCTTGAATCTTACACCTGTCTCAACTTCATTGCTCGACTTTCCCGCCTTGATCCTTGTTTCCTCTTCCTAGCCTTACAGCATCCGTGTTACTCCCCGACTCCTCTCTCATCACCACCATTACGGAATGTTCACTGGTCATGGAATCGCTCGTCTATGAGAACTCGCCTTTGGCGGACTACCTCCAGGGTGAGTTATCCCGGTTCATATGTTGGGGAAATTACAAAGTCTTATCTGGTCATACGTCAGGGGAAGGCGAACACGACCCAAACTGGCCTGTCAAGGAGACAGACCATAGCGATGATTTCTCCGACTCTACGGCTGCGGATTTTGCCCCACGAGGAGTTTCGAAATTCCAGGAGCGTATTCGGAATAAACTACCCAAGCCCCTTGACCGGAAAGTCTCGCGACAGCGGGCAGCTCTGGGTCGACTCTATGATGTTTGCACGGTATGAACACCCCACCTATTGCCTTGGTTGTGATTGTTACTAACGAACCTCTCTGACCAGTCTGCTCTGAACTCTCGCGTTGGACGAAGCGACAACGAAAGATTCCTGGAACAGTTCGGCTATGTCATCGTTGCGTCTCAGCTGCTGAACGAACACTCTGCGCCCTCTTACACATCAGCTGCAGATGTGATGTCTACGGCTCTTCCAGCAGACCTTCCGTCTATCTCCACCACGTTTGGCATACAAGGTGCTGTTGTCACGGCCTCGACTTCTTTCTCCGTAGCTTGGTTGTTACATTGGAGCCGGTCTCGAACCTCGTCTGGTCTTAACCCTCGGAAAGTCGGAGTTTTGTTGGTTCTCGTGCCTGTAATTGGGGTTCTGTTTTATGCGTTCGCCAAGCGACAGTGGCTTAAATATTTGCGTCATCAAGCTGTTGACGCAGCTGTGACTTTTATCAGCAACGCTCAAGGGTTTGACTCTGCCGCTTCCGCATCGGTTGTATTCATACAGGAAGTTGAGCTGGTCTCAAGAGGCTACCGCATGTAAGTTGCTCTGACTTCTAGCTTAGCTGACAAAGATCACTAATCCATCGAGTAGAAGCACACCGTTGCCCCCAGTAAGCCGACTCGAAGATCAGACGCAAACGCGACGATGTCTGAGACTGCGCCGAACTGTGTCGGAGTCGTTCTATCTCATGCTAGGCCAGTACATCCGGGCCCAACATACCCTACGCCCACTTACCGATGCCGCCAACCTCGCCAAGTATTACGATATCTACGATATATCAGAGGAGGAGCTTATGGAGGCCCAGGCAGCGTTCGATGAGCGAGCCACCGAAGATCAGTACTCTCTACGCGCCCTTCGCACACTTTTCGGAAGGCTTTACATCGTGAGAAAGAGCATCCTCTGTTGTCTTCTCGCGCTCGGCGCGGATGGCGGCGGGTCCGATATTGCTAGATGGACCACGGCAGTTGAGCAGATGCGGGACCTGGCCCATGTGACCGGCGAGAACATCCACAAGATGACCAACATCCTCAACGAGGACGATCGTAAGTACCACTCCTCAACAGAATCCATGCCAGAGCTAATCATCGTGCCAGGTGATGTCATCCCCCCTTCTCCGCTACCAACAGCTTCGCCCAACAAGGACAATCTCCGTGCACAATACCGAAATATCAATTCGCTCTCCCAGGGAATTCGTGCGCTTCACGCAAAGATGCACATCCTCAAGGAGGCATCTAGCTCTAATCTCGAGCGACCGGATGCTGGTGAATTCGAGGCGAGCCTCATGCCTCAGTATGAATCGATTGGAGCGGACATTAGAAGCCTTCTCCAGGAGTGGGAGTCGGGCAAATCCGCATTGATGAGTAGTTTGGAAAAACCCGCAAATCCGGAATTTTCGCGACCCTCGAGCTTTTTGAAAACACCCCTGTCACCCACACCCAGCCTTGGGGGCTCCACTGCAGTCGAGGGCAGCCCTGCAGACGCCCTTCGAGCGTTGACTGGCGAAACCACAGATCCCAGCATCGTTCATACACTAGATGATGAGGAGGAAATTTTTGAAGCTGTAGCTCTTCCGGCTCGGAACAAGAGGATGTCATTAACCCGAGAAGAACGAATCGCGCGAGTCAAGGAAGATAGAGCACGACAAGCAGCCGCTCGGGAGCGCACTGATGCCAATACAAACATGCTCAAGGAGCTAGAAATGGTAATCAAGCAACGACCTCGTACCACGATAGCTGCGAAACGTGTCACAAGCATCTGATTCCGCCAACATTCGACGGCATTCTTCCAACCCTATCCCTCTACCGCCACCTCGATACCCGAATTCCTTTTCCCTTCCTCCTCCCCGCATATTATCACCTAAGCTTCACTCTACCTCGAGCTGGAAGCCGACTCTTCCTAGCAACCTTTGCAGATTGATACCCAGAAATGTATAGAGCGGTCCGGTGTCAGCGGCGTTAAGGCAGTTTTGCATTCTATCTCAGCCCGGTTACTTATTATTACCTCTTTCCCCTGGCGGACACCCTTGGGCCTTACAATCGTTGATACTGTATATCATGTACTTTTTTCTTGACTCGTCCGTTCGTCTTCCTGTATACTCACTATGCTTGCCGAAGCAAAGCTGGCGGCTTTCGCTTGATCTCGTTTGTTCTGTATCATCAGCCTTGTGTACATATCCTACATTCTAGCGTAATTATTGATATCGAGACAGTATTCAATTATGTCTGAAGAATGATGTCTTGCTCCGTTGATTGAGGTGTATTTGATGGTATAGATTGTGTGATTTGCGTAGTACCACTGAAGGAACCTCAATCTTCGGTTACTATGGCCCGAATGTAAGTCGGCCAATTCTTTGCAATCCACTTGTATCAATTCATAACCAAAATCTTAACAGAACCTCATGCACTGCTTTCCGCCTCCTGCAGACGGCGATATTCCCCTTTCACGATATCCCGAAGCTCGGATTTCAGCGATGGCGCAGACGGCTGCCACCCCAGCAACTGACGAGCACGACTGGCCCGACATCGTACATTCAGCCCCCAACTAGCAGCCTCATAGCCTGCCCATTTCCGAGCGTCCTCGAAGCCAAAAGCCTCCTCTTCGGCGTTTGGGATGAATCCTTCCGTTACACAAATCTGTCCAATTGAACGGGCCAGCTCACCCCAGCAATGCTCCCCATTCTCACTGAGGTAGTATGCCTCCGGACCCCAAAGCCCATCATCTTGTTTTGAAAGGGCCTTTTCGAAAAGAATGACATATAAACTAGTCAGATCTTGAATGTGAATATCGGTCGCGAATGAAAGGCCCCGGCCGATGATGGGAACTTTCTGGCGTTGGATGGTCAGTTTGGCTAGCTCGTATATCTGTCTGCTGCGTTGGGAGCAGGGCCCTCGGCCACGACCTAAGACATAGCAGCCACTTAGTTATCTCCATTCTATTACATGTTGGTCGTTATTGAAGCCTACCGTAAACAGTCACCGGGGATACGATAGCAGTCTTCAGGACACCTGGACGCACCGATCCAGCCTCCAACACCGCTTTATCCACATCTCGGTGGAACGCATGGTCAGGAAAGTTTATAATCTCGTGGATATCTTGCACATCATCATAGATCTTCTCGCCTTTCTCCCCATATACCTCGTTCTCAGTGTCTGAGAACGAGAAGATCCCGGCACCACTGGTATGCAACCAATAGACAGGGCGTTCTTCGGTATGCCCTTCCAGCGCACCCTGAGCTATTGCCTTGGCTGCTCCAAGGTGGTCAGCAGCATCAGCTGTGTCTTTTAGGCCGGTGATGTCAGCGGGTACTCTTCCCTTATGATGGATACTATGTGACAATGAATGGATGCGTCCACTAACGGATGATGATATCGGCCCTAGCACTTTCTGCTGCCAGCGTCTCTGAAGTATCAAGATCGCCTTGGATAATCTCGACAGTAGGATATTGTGCCTTGATCTTCTGCCCACTATCGCGGCTTCGGACCAGTAAGCGGTAGTGCAGGTCTGGGTACTTGGATACAAGTACTGATAGAAGGTCACCGCCGATGTAGCCGCTGGCTCCTGTTCTGTTGCTTGTGTGAGCTTTTCTTGCGATGTGTATACTACGAAAGTGCCTTGGCTTTTAGATGAGCAACTGACATGAATACTGCGGTCATATTCAGGATAGGTTTGCGTTTGAATGTTACTCCACTGTCACTATAGGAAGGAGAAAATGGATCGTTCGGACAAGTTAACACCTGATCCTAATATTTATACTGATTCTATGGCTCAGTAATTCGTAAGGCATGTACTATTACCCTCTGAGTTGTTCGAATGCCTGTCATCATCTCCATACTGATTGCATTTGTAATCCAGCCATTACCGCGGAAGAGGACTGTCATGAGGAATTCATATTCCGCTTTCTCCACTTGTCCCTCACTCGAGACCAATTGAATATTCATATGTTGACTGCTCATCTGCATTTCCCTGGTCATATTGCAGGGCTAGTAACTATAGCATGATCCTAGTAGTTGTGACGTGATGCATTGCTGAGTTATCATTGTATTTGACTCTTAGCGGCTACGGAGTTTAGTAGTGTGTTTAGTGGTCAGTCCTACGCCGATATCATTGTCATTGTTAAACATCATTCTCTAGTCAAGTGTTACCTGCGACCTAAAGGCACTGGGTTGGGTTATTCGAATGCGCACAATAAGAGTCTGGTATGCTTGGATGAACAGCGCACGCACTGTTTCAGTACTGCCTGCCTAGCAGAAAGCATACTTCACCACCCTGTAGGCCTCTGGCTACACAGAAATAACTTCCCATACTCCATAGAGATAACTATTTCAGTTGCAGGATTAGTCACAAGTGGTAGTGACGCTTCTTTGTGACGGGTGCGGTATAGCCCAGCCTCAGGCAGCACCAGACTAACCCCAAAGGGTGATATCAGCCTAAGGAATGACGCGACTGGGACGCGTGCCTCCCCACTAATGAAACCCTCGAACGCGAATTCGCTGCACTTTCAGGTCCCTCAATAAATTCACCCCAACCTGAAAGACACGCCGCTATCCTTCCTACGCACTCAATTCCTTCTGTCAGTTCTTTACGACTTTCAATTCTTCACGATCCTGCTTTCACCTGCTAACCACTACCTACTTATCTCAGCCTCTCCTCATCTTCCTCTTCTCCTTCTCATTAGCTTCTCACCGTACTCACATACCATCACATCAAAAGTGAGCGTCACAAGCTGCAAACTGGTTCAAGATTGTATGCTAACAACTTTTTCAGTGCTTGAAGCTCGCCTAGAACAAGCCAGTCTCCTGAAGCGCGTAAGTAACGTTCGATCATACTGTTGCATGACATTGCTTGATTGCTGACATACGGTTTCTTCAGGTCGTCGACGCCATCAAGGACCTGGTCCAAGACTGCAACTTCGACTGCAATGACTCCGGTATCTCACTTCAGGCCATGGACAACTCCCATGTCGCTCTTGTCTCCATGATGCTCAAGGCCGAGGGATTCTCCCCCTACCGTTGCGACCGTAACATTGCCCTCGGTATCAACCTGGTCTCCCTGACCAAGGTCCTGCGTGCCGCCCAAAACGAAGACATTCTCACTCTCAAGGCTGAGGACTCTCCCGATGCCGTCAACCTGATGTTCGAGAGTGCCGAGACGGATAGACTTAGCGAGTATGATATCAAGTTGATGGACATTGACCAGGAGCACCTGGCCATCCCGGAGACAGAGTACGCTGCTACGGTAGAGATGCCGGCAGCAGAGTTCCAGCGTATCTGCAGGGATCTGAATGCTCTCTCTGAGTCCGGTATGTTGTTCTTTCCATTGGCAATGGGTTTGATTCGCGACTAATTCCTCTCCCAGTTGTCATTGAGGCCACGAAGGAGGGTGTCAAGTTCTCCTGCCAGGGTGACATTGGCAGTGGCTCCGTCACCGTCCGTCAGCACACCAACGTCGAGAACCCCGCACAGAACGTCTCCATCTCCCTCACCGAACCCGTCGCCCTCACTTTCTCTCTCAAGTACCTCGTCAACTTCTGCAAGGCTACCAACCTGTCGAACAAGGTCACCCTGTGCCTGTCGCAGGAGGTGCCGCTCCTCGTTGAGTATGGCCTTGGTAGCGGTCATCTGAGATTTTACCTGGCTCCCAAGGTACGATGATTCCTCGTTTAGTTTTATTGAAAGTTATACTGACTTATAATGTCTAGATTGGCGATGAGGAGTAAGTGGACATACATGCGAGATCATAATGACGAGTGGGAGCAACATGGAGGCAACGATTTCTCTTTTTTTTCTTTTCAAATTCGGAAAATATCCTGAATGTTCTCGGGGGCCCTGTGTTCATTTTTGTTTCTATAATATCCAGCTAGATGCTAAGCGACCAACGTGTTCAAAGTCCAATTGGTTACGATAATTCTGTCCAGTCTCTCTACATGTCTTATTCGAAGTACGAAGCAGTGAATTGTGCAATGGGAAGCTGCATTCTCAACAGACGTATATAACTATCCTGCAATAGCAGCTTAAACACATGCCCATAACGGCTCTTCCTCATTACCAATATAGGGTATCCCCAACCCCCCTAGGCCATCAAGAACCTAAAACAAGGACCCATACAGGTCCCCAAACCCAACAATTAGCCGGGGGAAAACAAAGTCCTTTCCAGTTCTCTAACCGCGAAGACACATGATTTCATAAGATAGGGGATCCAACTAACCTCAGAAAAAAGAAGTGAAGCGCCACCCCCACCAGAATAATCGGAATCGAATGATACCAATCCCATCCTCCCCCTCCAACCCACCCCCCATAAGGGGGGTGAGCAGCGAGGGGGGAACAGGAAACGGCATGCTGCGTATTGCACTAAAGTGTCGCACACCCGGTCAAAAGTTGCCGAGTGCACACACAATCTTCGCAACGACTCTCCCATGGGGAAAAAGAGAAAAGGAAAAGAAATGCAAGAGCGAACCCTTACATCCCTTCGCCTTCCTCCCCCGATGTTTCTGATGCCAATTGCAGGTGTGTGCAAGGATGTCACACCAGGCCCTTGAGGGCAGTACCGGCCATTTAGGAAATGAATCATTTTCCAAATGGCGGGTGCATAGGGTGAAGATTCCTCCGAATTTCTCATTTGCAAGGGGGTTTCGGATGATTTCCCCCGGAAGGGGAAATCAGAGCCGAGGACAGGAAGACCTGGAGGTCTTCTTGTCGTGTGTAGCAAAGAAACGCAGCATTGGTGGGGATGGCGCTTAGGGGAGAAGAAGAGAAGGTGAGTCAAGCTTAGCTGTCGTGGGTTTTTTTTATGGTGCGATGCGTTGGTGGTGGGCTTGACCGCTTACTGTATTGGGTGAGCTGGGGGAGTACCGGGGGGGGGGGGGGGGGAATGTTTGTTTGTTTTGTTTGTTTGGCTGGTGGTGGTGGTGATATTGAGGTGGATGGGACTGTTTTTACTGAGTATCATTCGACTTCCTTGTGAATTCATCTGGGACTTCAAAAGCTTAGACATGCCTTTTACTTAGTGATTGGTATTGCTTATTTTTGTCCGATACACCTTCTGGAATATTTCCGGGGTTGCGGTTGCCTTGGCTGCATCTGTCTATATGGCTAACCTGTCGGAAAGAGCTGTCAGGATTTCTCGTCCACCATAAATCCCACAACGCTGATTTAACTTGCGTATCATGTCGGGCTCTGGTCCTGCTCTGAACTTTAAAGCCCACCTTTGTGTCACCGTTATGCTGTGAAGCGGACTTCCGGATCTTAGAGCCCTTCAGCGCCGGCCATCCTGCACAAAGCCTTGTTCACCTGAACGGCTCGAAGATACTTCTTTTTTTTCTACTCCTTACTGAGACATTTTAGAGCCAAGGGATGGCTCTACTGCATCATCTCTAAGCGTGTCAGATCAGATCACGATCATAGCCGCGTTCAGTAAAGCTTGCGATGCTAATCTCTAGCATGGCTCGGAATCACTCCACCAAGCTGAGAAGCCCTGTGTTACGGGCCCAGTGCATACGCTGCCTGCTGCCTGAGATCTGCGATGTGATGTCTGGTAAATGCTAAGCTCCAGTACCAAGCAACAGAAACAGCAACGCTACATGTGCGAAGGCCCACATGTTCAAGTTCGAGTTCGCCACGTCCAACTTTACTGTCTACCAAGACAGGCTTTGGACTCAAGACACCCTCGAGGCTAAAGGGTTTCAATTTGATAACTTTGTTTACTCCAGAACAACTTCGGTAGCGGTATGAGCCGTAACAACCTTTTGATGGTTGTAATGCTTTCTCCATCCGAGCGTCGTCCATTACTCCGTATAGAGCAGGGGAGTCAATTCCTCGCCTCCAGCCTACTCCAATGAGCGTTACTAGACAATAAGCAACTGTTTCCTGGCATAATTGGCTGTATAGGGAACAAAAGCTATTCATTCTTCGTTTCAGGAGAAGAGACAGCCATCATACTTTGATTGCTACGGGTTAGGGAGTAGACACGTCACAATCGCCTGGAAGCAATTTACGGAACAAGCAACAACATGCAGTAAGGAGAGTTGGAGATCGAACAAAGGAGATAATTTACGGAGTCTCCGTACACAGTGCAGTCTTCTGAAATGTAAGCTTCACCGCAAGGTGCTTGTTGCTCAGTCTCTCATGCGTGGGGCGGCATTCTCGAATCCACGATGGTCCGTATCCACACTGAAGTGCTAGCATGGTTGCCCTTCAGATTTCCCGGCGAACTCAGAGCCACGGAGTATCTTTGGTGCTGAGTTTGAGCCCAAATGGATACCGGATCCGGGATTGATAGTTGATCACCGGCGCGTCGGAGGGCCGATCAGCCGTGACTGAGTCGGTGGTTTGGGCGTCGCGTCCCGTCAATATTTCCCTTCCTTGTTCTCATTACAGTAGGTCATAGAACAAGTTCCGGGATAGGGCACTTATAGGAAGTCGCAGGTTGACGTGTTTTATGGCTGATTGCTTTTGCTGGCTCCTCCCATCAGTCACGTAATTCCGCCCGAGCAGAAAAAACAGGCGAGTGGCAGTTTTTCCGGACCCTACTTCAATGACTGTTTGGCCTAACGGAGTAAACCTACAGCCGCTTCATGCATTTCTTGACGGGATCATCACCTCCATCTTCCCGCTAGGTCATTCTTAAGGTACAACGATGAGATACAGTGTCCAGCTCCACACAAATGCAGCTACGTACGTGCCACAAGTCTCCGTCGACAGCCTCGCCACATACAGTCCAGCAACGACACATATTAAGATGCTAAGAACAATGGCATTTTCAATTCAGCCAGTCAGAATCGTCAATGACAAGACTGAAGGTGGTCCACCCGGTGTGGCCTGAAGTGATCGACTATGTGTAATAATAGCGCTGATCAATTCACGCTCTAGTCGGGGCTTATTGTTGCGCTAGCTGCTGCAGGCCGCAGTTAGGGCCGCCTAGATCATGCATCCCAAAGGAGCAGGCCGCCCGGCCATGCTTGACTGCATAGACATGGCAGATGGCTGAAATAATTCTAGAAACAAGGCATAAGTGTGCACTAATGCGGATGAAGGGAGTGAGATCTAATTATTATCGAAATATGGCTGGACACGAAGCGGGGCGATCGCTTCCTAACATTAACACTCGAAATTGGCCCTTCTATAGTTTGCCCTGTGGGCTTTTATTGATTAGGTGTATCCCATACATACGGGACCTTCTGTTCAACCCTTATCTCTGGCGGAATTCCGCCTCTCTCTCGTTGCCAATTTCCCTCTCGCTTGGTGACCTGAAGGCTCTCGAAACGGGTCTATCTAGGAACTCTCATTGACTGGCATGATGGACGAAAAGGACGCCAGCGCTCACGACCCGTATCCATCGGATAAGGAGCAGACCTCATCGTCGGACGAGGAGGAACAAGAGCTTCACAATTTGACACGAATTGCCTCTACCCGAACTGGTCGAAGGATTTCACAAGCTGCTACGATCATTGAAAAGGATGACCCCCGTTTGGATCCCGCCAATCCGGCGTTCGATCAACGTCTCTGGGCAAAACTCGTCCTAACGGCCCTGAACCAGTCAGGCATTGTACAGCAGACGCAGGGTGTCGTTTTTTCTAATCTTTGCGTGTCTGGATCAGGCTCAGCATTACAGATCCAGAATACTATTGCTACGCAGTTGGCAGCTCCCTTCCGCGCTGCCGCGCATGCGCTTTCAAGACGAGCGTCCCCTCCACCAAGGCAGATTCTCCACAACTTCGATGGCTTCCTCCAGAGTGGAGAGCTCCTGCTTGTTCTCGGTCGCCCTGGAAGTGGATGTTCAACATTCCTGAAAACCCTCTGTGGCCACCTGGGTGGTCTGACGCTCGAACCTCAGAGTACCATTCATTACCAAGGGATCGAATATGAGGATATGATCAAGCACCACCGTGGAGAGGTAGCTTACAACAAGGAAGTCGATCAACACTTTCCACACCTTACCGTTGGTCAAACGCTTTCATTCGCAGCGCATGCACGGGCCCCTCAGAAACGAATCGACGGCTTGACACGCTCCGATTATGTGGATACCCTCACGCAGGTTGTCTTGGCTGTGTTTGGCCTCTCACACACCTATCACACCAAAGTAGGGGACAACTTTGTGCGAGGAGTTAGCGGTGGTGAGCGGAAGAGGGTCAGTATTGCCGAGATGTTCGTCTCAAGGTGTCGTATCGGGGCTTGGGATAACAGCACGCGAGGTCTCGATGCATCGTCTGCTCTAAAATTTGTCAGGGCATTACGTCTTTCTGCCGACATGGGTCGATCGTGTCATGCTATCGCTGCATATCAAGCTTCTCAGTCGATGTATGATCTCGTCGACAAAGTCGTCGTCCTCTACGAAGGTCGTGAGATCTACTTCGGTCGCCGCGATCGTGCAGTACCTTACTTCGAGGAAATGGGCTGGGAACTACCAGATCGTCAGGTCAGCGGCGACTTCCTGACTTCAGTTACTAATCCCGGCGAACGAAAAGCCCGTCCTGATATGGTGGACAAGGTGCCACGCACGGCGAAGGAGTTCGAGGAATATTGGAAGCGAAGCCCCGAGTATAAGGAGCTCTGCGGTCAGATAGAGGAGTATCAACGCGCTCATCCACCGGATTCAAACGAGGCCAAAGCATTCAAGGCCCATCATGAAGAGCAGCAGGCCCGCCATACTCGGCCACGCAGTCCATATTTGCTCTCTGTTCCGATGCAAGTCCGTCTCTGCCTGCGCCGGGCTTTTCAGCGACTACGAAACGACCTACCAACCGTAATCGTTACGGTAGTGACACAACCCATCCTGGGATTGGTGATAGGCTCGATTTTTTTCAACTCTGCGCCCACTACCGCCACATTCTTTCAAAAAGGGGCTGTGCTATACTTTGCTGTGCTTTTCAATGCCTTGATCGCACTCAACGAGATCATTCAACTATATAGCCAGAGGCCCATCGCTGTGAAGCAAGCGGGTTATGCGTTCGTCCATCCCTTTGCTGAGGCTTTGGCCAGTTGGATCATGGATCTGCCTATCAAATTTACACGAGGTACTCTCTTTTGTGTGATTCTTTATCTGATGTCCAACCTTCGACGAGAACCATCGCAGTTCTTCATTTGCTACATGTTTCTGTTGACTTCTGTCTTGACGATGTCCGGGATTTTCCGTAGCTTAGCTGCAGCTACAAGGACAAGCGCGCAGGCAATGGCAATGGCTGGTGTTTGTATCTTATGCATTGTGGTATACACTGGCTTCGTGTTGCCGCAACCATACATGCACCCGTGGCTTTCATGGATCCGCTGGGTTAACCCAATCTACTATGTGTATGAGGCCCTGTTAGCGAATGAGTTCCATGGCAGGAACTTTGAATGCGCATCGGTGATCCCAAGCTATGCTGTTGGCTCATCCTTCATCTGTTCAACCGTGGGTGCCGTCGCAGGACAGCGGTTCGTCTCCGGGGACGCTTATGTGGAGCAGAATTACCAATATTACTACAGCCATGTTTGGCGAAATTACGGAATTCTCGTCGCCTACCTGGTATTATTTACCGGTCTCTACTTGTTTCTTTCCGAATACAACTCGGTTGAGACATCCAAAGCAGAAACCCTGGTTTTCCGGTCTGGTCATGTTCCGCAATATCTACTATCCTCCGATAAGATCGAAGATGGAGAAGCGCCCCCAGACAAGCCCGAAGTGCGGGACCAAGTGGATGCTATTAACCTTCCTCAGCAAACAGATATCCTCTCGTGGAAGGGCCTCAATTATGATATACCCGTCAAAGAT